TGCTGTTTTTGGGGCCTGGAAGGCTGGAAGGCTGGACAGCTCAGCAGACTATAAAGCTCCTGGAAACGGGGTCAGCCTGACGCAGCCCGGAGACAACAATTAGCGGAATAAATTGTCGCCGGTGGCGGGAAAAATGGCGCGGCGGGCGCGCGTCGCGTCCTTGCGGATGGCCACGAGGGCGAGGCTGGCGCCTTGGCTGGCGCGCCGAATCCGCTAGCCGCCTCATCGGGTCCCTCTGGTCTTCGTCGCACTCCTGGGGCGTTCCGTTGGGGTGTGAGAGAGACAGGAGGCGATCTTTGAGGCGGCAGGTCAGGTCGCCGTCACGGCTCCTCGGCGACACACGCATTACACGGCGCGGTCACGGCATGGTCAAGGCCGGACCGCGTGTCGGCCGCGTGCCCGAGACGTGGTCACGCCCAAGCTGGCCATCCTGGCCACCCTGGCCACCCTCCAGACCGTCGGACTTCCTTTCCGAACGTAGAAAAAAGTTCTGACAATCCACCACGGCACGGAATCGAACCCGCGAACCGGCGTGCAGCCGGACAGACGCCGAGCGCGCTACCCACTGCGCCACGGCGCGAGAGGAGACGTCAATCGGAGCGGCGGCTGAGTGGTGGGGCGGCGGCGCGGAGGCGTGGTCCGGTATGCGGTATGCGGTCGTTATTTATCGAATCCGCTCGGCTCCGTCTCCCTCGCCGCCTATGCCTCTCTATCCCTTCTCCCGCGCTCGCGATTAAACCGCGTTTTTGCTTTAGTTTCGATGGCGGCCTGAGTTATTCTTTATTGTGTGCCTGCCTTGCCGGCCGTGCCGGCTGGCTAGCGAGCGAACCGCGTGGCGGCGCATCAACAGGACTCAGCGGCGCGTGGGTGTCGGCACTGCAACTCACACGCAGACACGCGCACACACACGCACACTCACAAACGCGCGCGCGCCCCGGCAGCTGCGAGGATCACACTCGGATCGGCGGTAATAATCAGCACGCTTCGACGGGTACGGCGGTACGGCACGCACGGCACGCGCCCCGCCTCTGTCTCTCTCTATCGCGAGCGAAGAACGGAGTCGCTCTCTAGTTGATCGAGGCGCGTGGGGAGCGTGAATCCGTCGTGTGCCGCTCGCCGTTTTCGGCGTTTTATTGGTGACACTATCTTTCTTTTTTCATGCCACGCGATCTTGTGTTTGATTTATAAAGTAAGATGCAAATTTCGCTGGAATCTGAATCATAAAGGAGGATTTTTTTCTGTCCGTGTTTGATAAAAGCGCGGACCATGGCCGGCTGGGACTCGGCTAGAAAGAGAGGGCTTTACGAGAAGCAAGAGGTCCGAGAGGTCGTCTCGGCGGTCTCGGTGAGTGTCGGTGACGGACGCGGACGGATGCCGTTGGGCTCAGGGGCCGCCATTTGTTTCCCGGGATTCATTTGTACGGAGAAAAAGGACGAAAGCCGGAGCGTGTTAATTGCTCCCTTGACGACCCGCCCCGCGATAACGGCTTGCGTAACAGCCATCCATCGCCACTTCGACAACTCAAATAAAGACACTTGACTTCTGAAAAATGTGCGGGTGACGGGAGTCGAACACGCACACTCCCGAGGGCTAGCGCTAACGACTAAGTGCAGTGCAACTGCTGCGCCACGAGTGCTAATCATCTGATTTTGATTGACGGAGGCAAAATGAATGAGTGGGAGTGGTGTCGAACCATGATACTGCCTGCCGAAAAACGGCGCAGTTGTGCTCACGGCTACGGAGGGGGTACAGGCCTCAAAGTTTCTCAAAAGGGACGCGCGGGAAACACAACCAGACCGAGATCCAGCTACAAGTCCCGCGGCTTCCGAGAGCCATAGAAATCGACAGTGGTCGCGTCCTCCGCGGTGCGGCGTGCGCGGCACTCCAGGCTCCAGCGATCGGCTCCGGCGACTGGCCGACGCGGCGGGCCGGCCGGCGGGTCGCGCGGTGAAAAGTGGCCGGTGTCTGGACCACGCCGAAGAGGGCCACGCCCGGGCCGGAGATGGCCTGTGACGGCTGTGGCGGCCGGGCCGGGCCGGGCCCCTGTCAAGGCCGAGGACGCACAGCACATTGACTGGCAGTGGCGGCGGCAGCACCGGCCAGGAATCTGCTCTGGTTCGCCCTGAGGGCGGGCGTCCACACCGGTCGGGGAGTCTCTTCTCTCCGAGCGTCTCTTCCCCTACCACCACGCGCACACACACAGACAGACACACACACACAACCACGTATACTGTATACTGTGCTCCAGCCTTTATCTTTGGAAAACGCCCACGACTTGCTCCTCGGGCCCCAGAGACGCGGTGACCGCGGCATCGGAACTAGGCAGCCACGCCTTGGATTATTCCTGTCGATATGTACCACCAAGTCGGCGAAAGATTGACGCCTCGGGCGTCGGGCGGGGCGGGGTGGGGCGATGCGGGCGGGGCGGGGCGGGGCGGGGCGGGGCGGGGCGGGGCGGTCGGGGCCGCTGAATGGATTTGATTAGCTCTATCCTAGAGCTCCATCCACACCGCGAAACATTGAGAACAGATAAAGTACAGCCTAATAAATCTCGTCACTTTTATTTTTAGTTGACGGACGTCCCGAGAAGTATTTTAGCAAGTCAGCTGTTTGTTTCGGTTCCCTTCCACTTGGTTTGGTTCGTTCGGCTCGTAATTCGCGCTTTTTCACTTGGCCCTCGTTCTTTGCACTTGAGTGACCAGCCTCGCTTGCAAACAATCCTTCCACGCCGCGTGCAATTTTCGGCACGCCAACCAATGTGAGTGGCGTGGCATCAGAGTGAGAGAGTCCTCTTCCTGGAGCAGGCTCCTCCACTAGCGGCAACAGAACTCGTATGCGCTGACTCACACACACACAAGCACACACACATACACGGGGGTATACTCTGTTGTGAAATTCGTGGCTCAGTGTCTCCAAGACCTCCTGATTGCACAGGGCCTGCCCAGGTGATTATATTTTTTATAAACTTTTATAAAGGTTTTTATAAAAATTTATAAATGTCGCTTCATTCAACGATATACAGATTGCATACTGCTGTATATAATTTTATAGTCATGAATACGATTTTATAAAGGGGTCTATAAAATTTTATAAACGTGTCTATAAAATTTCTTAAAATTTCTTAAAAAAGGTCTTATAAGAGCCTTTATAAAATTTTATGAAAAATAAAATTACCTGGGTGGTTTAAATTGTCAAAAAAACAAAATGTTTTATATCACTAAGGCGCCCTTGAAACCCTCTTTCCAGGCCAAAGCCGGGCGGCTTTCGCGAATCCTCAGGATGAGCCGTCGATACCGCAACAGATCCAGACAGGTGTTCCAGGCGGGCCAGACGGCCAGACCGGCGTGCAGCAACAGTACCGCACGCGCGTAGCACGCGCAGCACGCGTAGCACGCGCAGCTAGGGGCGCCTCGCTGCGAAACAACTCTTCCGGGCGAAACAAGAGCAGTTTCGGGAGGTCCGGCCGCGGCAAGCAGTGGGCCGGGAATAGGACCGGCCGGGCGGTTAGCGCGGCAGGACATGCAGCCACCACTTCCGGTCCGACAAGTTCTGCATTCGGACGGACACCAAGTTAGGTTAGGTTCTTGACGTTGCGCTGCGGTAGCCGCGTGCCCTAACGCACCGGGTAGCGCGGCCGTAGATTGATGGTTCGACTCTACCCTCCGACCGACATTTTGCCTCCTGCGATTCCTAGATTATTGTTACTCTTTTGAAGGAGGGGCTGGGGTCTTTGAATTATAAGTGCTCACAGTGCTACGCGATTTCATCCCCATAAAAATTGTTTGCCGTTTTCGTTTTGTCGGCAAAGCTCTGCGCGTTGTTCCCTTGGTTCCCTCCACCTGCCGTTTGTCGGGCCGGCCGGCCGCGCCGTCGTATCGCGCCGCCGTGTCCTGCAGGATAAGGACAAGGAATAAATCGGTCTCCCTCGCGCGCGCCTCCTCGCCGCTTCTCGCTGCTTCTCGCTCTGTCGTCTGGGCGGGGCCGCGGGGCCGCGGGGCCGCGGGCCGCGGGGCCGCGGGGCCGGGGCACTGCTCGGCCACCCGGCCAAAAGAGAGCAAGAGTGAGACAAGACGCCTCACTGACCAATCAATGCACGGCGCGTTCTCCAGGGCCTCCAGGGCCTCCAGGGACGCCGCACCACGCCGCCGGGCACCACTCCACCACAAGGAGCAGGAGGGAAACACAAAAAAAATTGATCCAGAAATTTCAAAATGATTTTATTATTGTGACACTCTGGGGAAAATGACGCAAGGCAGCATCGTAAAACTGAGGGTGACTTTTACATACGTGTCCCCGGCCGGCCTGCGCCACGCCATGGCCACGCCCAGAACAGCTGCCGGTGGTTGAACCCGAACCCGACGCGAGGATGTTCATGAACCCAAGTAGTAACGTCTCCATTTTAATTTAGAAAAAAGGAGAAAACTCGGCTGGTTTACTCGCTACTCCCCTCACCCTACTCGGCACCACCCCGGGGTTACGACACAACCTACCAGTAAAATTTTTTTGTCGCAGCTCAAAACAATGATTGAGACAGTTATTTCATCTCGGTGTACGTGCTGCATGCACACTATTGTCCAAAGTGTACGCTAATTTGAGATGACAGATGCGCGTTACCGAAGGCTACAGGAAACAAACGAATGCCGGCGTGGCTCTGTAGGCGTCCCCAGGCAGGGGTGGGGTGGGCAGAAAGGGAGGGGGGTAAATGAGGAAGATTTTCGAGCCCATCCCAGCCTATCGCATCGCCGCCTGCAAAAACAGAGGCAAGGGGAGGAAGTGGTCGGGGCACGGGTGGCCCCAGGCCGGCCCCGTGCTGGTGGCGGTAGAGGGGAGCCGGCGGCAACACTTGTGGAGCAACAACAACAACGCCAGCAACAACAACAACGGCAGCATCAGTCAAGAAGAATATCCGCGAGGTATAAAAGGCGGTGGATGAGCAAATGGCTTCAGTCCGAATCCATCCTTGTTCTGGCGAGTACTGGAAATCCAGCAGCGCTAGAAACATGAAGTCCTTCGTAAGTACAAAGCCAGTGCCGACTGGCATCCCCAAGGTCACGAGCTTAGGTGTCCTTGAATGCCTGAGTGTTTCGAATTTCGTTCCTGCTCGCCGGCTCACGACATCGCTCTGCTTCGCTCTGCACAGGTCGTCCTGTCCTGCGTCCTGGCCGTGGCCGTGGCCTCCTACGTGCCCGCCGACACCCCCGAGGTGGCCGCCGCCAAGGCGCAGCACTTCGCCGCCACACCAGCAGGCCACCGCCCGCAACTGGGCTAGCGATGTGGTCGTCAACAACCAGTGGGTGGCTGCTGCCCCTGCCTGGTCCAACGTGTGGACCGCCCGCGCCGCCAACTGGTACGCCCCATCCTGGCAGCGCTGGTACCAGCCTGCCCAGATCGCCGTCGTCAACGGCCACGTCCAGGACACCCCTGAGGTCGCCGCCGAGAAGGCCAAGCACTTCGCTCTGGTCGCCGAGGCCAACGCCCGCAACGCCGTCAGCGGTGGTGACGACGGTCAGTGGGTTGACGACGTGAACGTGCACGTTGCCGCCCCCGCCGTGGCCCGCGTCGCCGTCCACGCCGCCCACCCCGTGTCCTACGTCAAGAGCTACGCCGCCCCCGCCGTCTCCCACAGCTACGTCGCCGCCGCCCGCCACGTTCAGCCCGCCAACATCGTCGTCGCCAACGGCCACGTCCAGGACACCCCTGAGGTCGCCGCCGAGAAGGCCAAGCACTTCGCCCTGTACGCCGAGTCCGCCGCCCGCAACGCCGCCGCCGGCAGCACCGAGTGGGCCGACAACGCCGAGAACTGGAAGGCCTGGGGATCCCCCGCCGCCGTCTCCACCTACGCCGCCGTCGCCCCCGTCGTGTCCAGCGTGTACCCCTCCTGGGCTGTGAACCACGGTGTCGCCCCCATCGTCGTCGCCAACGGCCACGTCCAGGACACCGCGGAGGTCGCCGCCGAGAAGGCCAAGCACCTCGCCCTGGTCGCTGAGGCTAAGGCCCGCAACGGAGACTGGTCCGAAGTCGTCGCCCCCGTTGCCGTCGCCCCCGTCGCCCCTGTCGCCGTCGGCCGCGTGGCTCACGCCGTCGCCGCCGTGCCCGCCGTCGCCGACCTGCACTCCCAGTACCACGCCCAGGACGAGGCTGGCCAGTACACCTACGGCTACAACGGCGGTCTGTCCACCAAGGTAAGGGCCTGCAGGGCTAGGGCATCCCCCCCCCCCTCCTCCGCTGGGCAAACTGGTCCAGGTGACTTCCGCATAGCCGTGGGATGAGGCAGGACGGAGGGGGGTCGCGTGGACGAGCGTGGACGGGGCGCGGTCCAGGGTCAAGTCCACCATTAAGCTATTCGGTCATAATCGTCGCGGTGATGAATTGGTGGCGTCGGTTGCGTGTCCGAATCAGTCCAGCGCGCGCCGCGGTCAGGGAGGAGGGGGAGGGGGGAGCCTCGGCTGGTGAGCAGGCGGTTTATCACTTCCTCGGCAGCCCGCCTGTTAGAAATAGAGCACATTCAACTTCTATTTTTATAGTTGTATTTGAATATATTTTTTGTGACTTGTCCAGGCGGCTGCCTGCCGAAAAACTCAGCTTCCCGCGTCGCCTCGCGTTAGCGCCTTCCTTCTCATTAGCATGCGGACAAGACGGATCCGGAGCACCGGCCGGGAGGGGGGGGGGGGGGCTTATTTCGGCCGAGTGGGATATCGAGTTATCGATTCCCACTCCCATTCTCCGTGACGGCGTTTACCTTGGTCTTAATGGCGACACGCCCCGCCCCACAATCCTCCTCATGACTAGCCCCAATTTAATTTAATCTCATCTCTCCATTGTTTTTCTTTTTGCAGAACGAGGAGAAGACCGTCGACGGCGTGACCCGCGGTGCCTACTCCTACGTCGACGCCAACGGCATCGTTCAGTCCCGCAGCTACGTCGCCGACAGCTTCGGCTTCCGCGTCGCCGCCACCGACCTGCCCCAGGACGCCCCCGCCGTCGCCGCCGCCCCCATCGTCGCCGCCCCCGTTCGCTCCGTGTACGCCGCCCCCGCCGTGTACCAGCGCGTCGCCGCCGTGCCCTCCGCCCAGGTCGTCGTCAAGGCCGACGGCACCCTGGAGGACACCCCCGAGGTGGCGGCCGCCAAGGCCCAGCACTTCGCCGCCCACCAGCAGGAGCACGCCCGTCTCGTCGGCGGCGCCTGGTAATCCCGGCACCGGCAGCCACCCGGTTACCATGACGACCAACGCACCCCGTGCGCCATGAGGGGAAACACGAGTTACCAGCGTCGTTCTGGGCCGCCGCCACCGACGGCGTCCTTTTTGGAGACGCCGCGGCGGTGGCGTCGGCTACATCGGCGGACGACGCGCGGCGCACAGTCTGGCGGCAGTCCCTGGTGGACGCGGCCCGCACCGACCCAGTACCACAAAGTACATGTACAACGTTGTGATTTAGGATAGAGGGGGCAGAAGCGCTCGCGGGGCGTGTCGGAAGGACGCCGAAGACGAAAACTCCCCGCGGTGCGACCCCCGCCAACTAGACTGATGGAAACGACAAGGACGACTGAGGACTCTCTTTATGTTTTGTTAATTTTTAGGTTTCATTATTTGCTGATGAGACCGAAAAAAATTTAGTGAGTGGTTTGTGATATTCCACCCGTTATGCTACGCACCTCTTACGGACGAATAAATGATACAAGTAAAGCTCGCTGTGTTTTTGTTTTCCCTACGGCTCCCCTCTGCTGCGTCCTCACGTTCATCCGTTTGAACCTGTCGTTCGCCTGGCCGCGGGATTGAGGCACCTGAAGGAACCGCACGCAACGCGTTCCATTCTGGAGCGGCTGGCTGGGCAACGTCCGGATTGTGCTCAGCCAGCCGCGTGGTGCAAGCCGCCAGCCGCTAAGCCACCAAGCCGCCGAATTTCGCATTCCTAGCCGACAGTTCCCCAGCTCACGCTCCAGTGTAGCGATTTGGGCGGCTGGAGGCTGGAAGCCTTGGCTGACGAGAAGCATACGGCTGCTGGCTCTGTTGGGTGGCGAGCCCATTCAGCGGCCACGTCATGCGTGCGGCGGTGGCGGAAGGTGGCAGCATCAGGCAGCATCCGCGAGGAGACCAAAGAATTGAACAGGTGAGCCGAGGCTGAGGCTGAGGGGGTGGACAATGCGACAGTGCGACGGAATGGTGGGGCTGGCGGGGCTGGCGGGGCTGCCGTGGCCGTTGTGGGGGATTTGGGTGGAGGAGTTAAACTATCCCCCACCTCGCGTCGCCACTCCGCCACGCCAAGGCGGTGCTGATGCTCGTTTCGGGCGCAGCGCGCAGCATCCTCCAGAGCGTCCAGGACGTCCATGGCCCGCGCGCGCTCTCCGCACGCGTCCGCCGCGGCTGCGTGACGAAGCGGCGCACGGCCGAGACCTTGCCTCCCCCCCCCCTTTTCCCCCTCCCCCGCCACGCGCCACGGCCGTGTGTGTTGTCATAGGTCCGGAGCCGTGACGGCGAGTAACGAGTCCGAAGTAGCGAGAGAGCGTCTTTATTAGCCGGCATGATGATAACAAGAACAACTACCCGGGGGAAGGAGGAAGGATGTTGCAGCGAAGAGAGAAGTGTTGCTGCGGGCGTCGCGGGTGTCGCGGGGACGCCGGCAGAGGCTTCGTCGGAGTTCGACCGAAGTTTCGGCGTTGCAGCGCCAAGGCCCCCGATGAAGTTCGGAAGCCTCTAGACCGGCGGCCGGGCGGCGCGGCGGTCCGCTAGCTGGACCGTCGCCCCGCGGAGGTCGCGAACGAGGACGGGGAGGTGATGAGAAGCGTGAAGAGTGCATGGGGCGATGGTTCGTGTTCGTGGACGACGTCTCGGCCTACACCTGGGCCTGGGGCAGGTCGGAGGCCACGACACGGAAGCCACCCTCGTCGGCGACGTAGCTCCGGGACTGGATCTGGCCGTTGGGATCCACGTAGGAGTAGCTGCCTCGGGTCACGCCGTCGAGGGTCTTGGTCTCACTCTGCGGAGACAAACAAAAAAAAAAAATTAACAATAACTCAAAACTGTTCTTCCTTTCTCAATCCCTTCCCCCGCCACGCTAGATTGATTCCCCCCGCTGCGACGCGAGACACGACAAAGCGGTTGTCGCACAGCGCGCACCGCACAGCACCTTGGAGGCGACGTCGTTGGCGTAGCCGAAGGTGTACTGGCCGGCCTCGTCCTGCGCGTGGTACTGCGAGCTGAGGCCGCTGGACAGCGCCACCGGCGCCACCGGGGCCACGGGGGCAGCGCTCTGGAAGGAACACACATTCGAGGATCAGGTCGCAGTAAAGCCCTCAGATGCACGCGGATTAGACGCACAGGCCGTCCCGCGCAGTGCGCGCGGCGTGCAGAGCCTCACCCGGTAGGTGTAGGGGGCGAGCGGGGCGGAGACGTAGCGCCGATCCACGGGGTAGGCCGCCGACGAGGTGTAGTACTGGGGCTGGCTGCTGGTCACGTACCCACCGTTGCCTGCGCCCACAACAAGCGAATCGTTTGAAAAATAAAGGTCTGCAACTGCAGTTATTTCCCCCTTTTTTTCGGCAGTATGCTTACTTGCAAAACCGCTCCTGATCAGGGGCTGCTCCACGGCGGGGTCCAGGGCTCCGTTGGTGATGGACCACCTGCGGAGGAGAGAGAGTGGTAGAGCCGATTTAGCGAACAGTGGAAACGACAGAGACAGAGACGGGCTTTGGCGCGTTCGGACGCGGCGCCGTGGCGGTAGGCAACCCAGCTGACGCCGCTGCCCGATGGGTGGCGTGCTGAGCGGCGCACGGGGCACGGTGCGCTCGGCCCCGACAAGGACAAGGCAGCCCTCTGTGACGTCTTTAAGCCTCACCTGTAGGGCGCGCGGTATCCGGGCTGCAGGCCAGAGCCCCGGGACAGCTGCTCGGGGGCGGCGGGCTGCGCGGGGCCCACGGGCAGGTCGCTGGCGGCCACCCTGAAGCCGTTCACGTCGTCCGCAGTGTAGGTGCGCGTCTGCAGCTGGATTGGACGGGTTGGAAAAGCACAGTTTAGTAAAACGCCTCAGGAACAAACCTCGAACTTTACAATGTGCTGCCACTCACGCGGCCCAGAGGGTCGACGTAGGAGTAGGTGCCGCGGGTGACGCCGTCGGCAGTCTTCTGCTCGTGCTTGGCGGCGGAGGGGCCCGAGTAGCCGAAGCTGTACTGGCCGAGCTCGTCCTGGGCGTGGTATTGCGAGTAGACGGCGCCGATGTCAGGGTAGTCCGCGGGGTACGGGTAGGGGTAGCCCAGCACGCCGCCGACCGCCACCGAGACCAGGAAGACGACGAGCACCTGCGCGCCGACGATTGGAATAAAGGACATTGTCTCAAGTGATTATTTTTTCGTTCCCGCGGCGAGAGCGGCGTCTCTATTTCCTTCCGATGCCCCGCGGTTCCCAGGCCGGGTTATAAAACTCGCGCCTCCGACTCCGAATTATGAAAATCCGGCGATCCGGCGACAGGAGGCGGCCCGGCGGAGACAGGAAAGTGATTTACGCGCCGGCGGCACGCGACAGTGGCGGAGCGTGGAGGGGGGAGTGCTCGAATCCGCTCCGACTCTAGCCGACGTCAAAGTCGGCGTGTGCCTTGCGCGGGCAGCGAGTGTGTCCGGTTAATTAGCGTGGGAAATGACGGGCTGATCTGCATCCGAATGACCACCGGGATGACCGCCTCGATGACCACCAGCAACCGGCAAGGACCAGCCGCGCGTAGATTTGGCAAGGACGAGACCGACTGCTACTCTGTGGGTATTCGTTCCCCCTGGCAACGCGTGCTTCCAACCGAAGCGCCGCATCAATGTAGAAATAATTGTTCTGAAAAGGACAAGAACATCTGGCGGACTTTGTGACTGCCCACAAACCGATGATGACTCCACTGTCTTGCACGGTGCTCGCCAAAGGAACGGCCGGCTCAGACAACTAAATGGACATTACTGTACCCGAGAAGGGTACACGTACACATCAACGCGCTGCTTCGGCACTGTAAACACCTTCTGCGGACGCGGACCCCAAGGGTCGGCCCGCCAATGGGACGGGACGCGCTAAAAGCCGGAGCCGTTTATCTCCGGCCGAAAGCCTTTCTGCCAATAAACAGGACGTAGGCGCGATGCGGGACTCTATGGCTGCCAGCAGACCGAGGCAGTATCTCAGCCCGTGGCCTGGGGAGGGGAGGGGAGGGGAGGGGGAGCAACGCCGAAGAAAGGCACGCGTGCCCCCCTGCCCGTCCGGTGGCCGCTCCTTAAATCTGCGCCTCCAGGATAACAGAAGCGCTCCGGAGTGGGCGACAAATCGGCGTCGTCTAATAGGCGCGGCGTTGGCGGCCAGTGCGGCCGGTCGTGGCTCATCGCTGTGGTCACTGCACGCTTACAAGCGCGGGGGAATAAAAATGGCAGCTTTGCTTTTATGCGGCGGGGAGCAGGGAGGGTCCTCTTAAGCGGGATCGATTAGATAAGGAGAACGCGTTGACATTCGAAGGGAGAGGCGGTCACGGCGGCGGCCCGGGTGGCGACCGCACCCTTGGGAGGCCAACGACTGAACGAATGTACTGCACCTCGCTGTGCTTGAGACAGCAGGAATTAGGAGCTAATCAGGGAAGAAAATGCTCTCGAGAAGATCACACAACAACAGCAAAGGCGACCAAAAATTTGTCACATCAGAATCATTAATGCAACTGCAATTGAAACGGGTGGCGAAGAAAAACGCGCGGAGGAGGTTGGGGGAAGGCGCTCCAAGCTCCAAGTAGTGCATATGATTGAAAATCTGCTGGAGATGGAACGGGTCCGCGCTGGGCAGTCTGGGCGGGGGCGCGGGGGCGCGGGGGCGCGGCACGGCGGGGGCACGTCGCGCTGGTCGCGGTGCGGACTGCAGAGCGTGCGTGCGTGCATGGGCGGCGAGCGGTTCGAGTTGGAATTAGAGGACTGGCGGTCGGGCCAGGCCGCCGGGCCGTTGACCTACGCCTTGCACTTCTTGCAGGCGCCCCCGCCAGCCCAGAGCAGCGCACGGGGGCCGCGCCATTATTGGCAATCACCCTCAGCGGGCCGGTAAAAGCGCGCGCGTCGCTCTGTCTCTCTCGCACTCGCGGGCCGTCCCGTAGGGGCGCGAGAGAGACAGAGCGACGAATAGCTGTGCGGACTCGGCCTGGGGGGAGACCGCGAGGAAGACAATGCGTGCCCGCTGGCCGCGCTGCCGCCGGCGCCGGCCTGGCCGTGCGGGGCGCGGCGCGGCATGGGGTGGAGCCGGGTGGAGCACTGTGGGAGACGAGGACCTCGGCCACGCCGGCGTGCAGTGCGGCAGTGCAGCCCATCCGGCCTATTTGTTTCAGACAAATTTACGAGGCTCCATTCAGGGCTCCACTTTTGATGGCATGGCGTTCCGGCTGGCGGGGCGGGGCGGGGCGGGGCGGGGCGGGGCGTCCCTCCGCCGGGCATTTTATGGCGTCCGCGAATCGGGGACCTCGGCCAAGGCAGCCAGGCACAGCCAGGGGAAGGGGGTCTCCTAGCTCTGCAGCGCCACAGGAAAGGTGTGGCAGGGCACAATGTACGGCGCGGCGGCACCACAGCGCGGCGTGGCGGCCAGAGCGGCGCGTAAATTCAAATCGAGATGATCTCTGTGACGGGCTGGCTTGGCCGTCCGCGGCGTGGTGCGGCACTGCGGGGCCCTCCCCTCAAATAGCGCGCACGTCTGCCAGTCTGCCACCGTCGCCGACTTAAGGGACTTGGACGGGAAGAGGGCGCGGTGCACCTCGGCGCCAATGCTCTGCTAACAGAGAGAGACGAACCTATCGAGAACCTATCGATCGGCCAGGTTGTCTGAGCCCGTCGGGCCGTCGGGCCGTCGGCAGGGCGGCCGCGATTCACTTTGCACGTTGCGAAAGTAACGATGTAAAGATAGATCAATTTGGTCAATTTTTCCCTTGTGAAGAAAACTGAAATTTTCATACGAGCAGACAGAAAAGGGCTACACACAGAGAAGCAATACTGCAGCACATCCGTCGCCCACTACACTACTTTATCCTGGAGCAAAAGATTGAGTTGAGAACTCACAACTACACGAGTAAAGAGCGACAATTTAAAAGTCCTGAAACTATAAATTTTCTCGCGCAACAATGACTATCCTCCGCATGACACAAAAACGGGAACCGGAAAGGTACTCACGTTGGTCACCATGTTGCTGCGGGTAGTTGCCTGGGGTTGCCTGGGTTGCCTGCACTGCACTGAACGCGGCCGCGGCTGGCAGGGGAGTGTGCCGATTCCGGGGCCCGGCGACCATTTATAACAATTGCGGGCGTCGCGCGGGTCCGGGCCGTCCGGGTCCGGCCGCCGGGATGGGGTCCCGTGGGTCCGGCCGGTGCGGCCAGTGCGGCCAGGCCGGCCAGGCCGGCCAGGCCGGCAGAGGGATCCGGGAAGGAGCAGGGAGCAGGGCGAGGGGAACGGAAGGGAGCGGAACGGCAGCGGCTCCTAGGATCCAACAGGCGATGCGCGCCGAGGGGCGGGGAGGGGGAGGGGGAGGGGAGGCAGGGGTGGAGGAGGAGCCGGCTCGCCGCGCGGAGGGGAGGGGGAGGGGTAAGTCTAAGTCACACGCAGGGTAAGGAACTACATGAACCGGCCAGACCATTTCTTTTTAATGCTTCCGCTGTTCCTGGCCGTTCATTGCTCAAGGCCGAATTTCGGTACGAGATACTTTGTATGCCGGCTGCCCGGCGTGCTCGGCCGGGCGAAGCTGATTTGCACGGCTTAAATTTGCAAACTCCGCGGCGCTGCTGCGGCCGCCTTGATTTTTTGGGAGTCTCGGTTCGGGCGGCGCCGGCACCACGCAGCGCCAGAACCGTCAACTTTAAGCCCCCCGAAAAATTAAAAGAATTATTAGAACAAATTATTCCGAGATAAGGAATCAGCTGTGTTTCTTCATCACTACTTGGGATCCGGTGAAAATTGAAAATTTGAAAAGTACCAGACTGTGGCAGCAAGAGGTTGAAAAACTACGCGGCCCGTTTTCGACTTTGAAAAAAAATTGATAATTCGCGAAAGGACGAGGTACATAGAAGCAAGGCTGCCGATGGGGGTCGAACCCGCTGGGCCATCACTGAAAACAGTTGAGCCGTCTCCGACTATCCTTGGCGACTGACGGTTGGGAAAGGTCGCGCCGTTAGTTCCTTGGAAGGACCCCTTTACTGGATTTGAAGTCCAGGGTGCGCCCTGCAGAGCGCCTGCGAATTGCGGCGTAGGCCAGCCCGCAGCACTCGGGAGTGTTGCATGGCAACCAACGGCCTACCTCGCAGGCGCCAAGGGTCACCTCAGTACGAAACGATGTTGAATATTTTCGAGTTCAGCCACCCACGTACATCCGAATCTTTGTGATACAGCAAACCCATTTCTCAGCGAAAACTGAAGGCCTGATTCGCCAACATTCCAGTGCGTGATAAGTCATCATCTAGCGTAGTGTTCGAAAATTCCCGGGAACAATCATTCAGGGGAATATTCCCGAGACTTCCCGGGAATTCCCGGGAATATTCCCACTTGGCCGGGAACATTGCTTCATATGAAACCCATCACTTTTGATAAAAGTTAAATTTTTTAATACGAAATTTTTTGATAGAAAACTATTTTTTGATTACAAAACGTTTTGTTTTGTTCCCTTCTGAAAGAAAAATGGAAATACACTCATGTGTTTCATAATTTTTACTTGATACCTTGCGTGTTCTACATTTTTCCTGCAAAAAAACCAGCTGTTTTTAGCCATTTTTTAAATTCCCGGGAATTTCCCATTTTTGGGGTTTGATTGTGCCCGGGAACGTTCCCGGGAATTCCCTAAATTCCCGGGAATATTCCTACCTTTTAGAACACTAATCTAGCGCGTTATGACATCGCGCTGCTCGCTATAAATCGAGGTCGGTCCGCGACCACCGCGTCGAGACTTGCGAACCCGCGGCCGTTTTCCCAAAAAGGCTGCACGCCGCTCGCCGTTTGGGGCCGTTTGGGCTGACGGAGTCGCCTCGGTCCGCCCGCCCCGGCCGGCCAGTGGCCCAGGCCTGTCATCGGCGTACTCTGCAGTCGGGGCGTCGGGGCGAATTTACGGACGCGGCGAGCGAAATGTATAACACGGCGGCCGAGCAGACCGATTCCGCGCGAGGGCGGTGTCTCCCTCGCACTCGCGGGCCGTCCCATGTGGGTGCGAGAGAGACAGAGCGTTCGCTCGGGATCGGCCTGCAGTGCGGAGGCGTGGCAGGCCGCTCACCTGCAGCAGCCTCTGCCGGGGCGCGTCCCACAGTGGGCCAGAAGACCGGTGAGGCGGCCAAAACTCTAGACGCGTTTTGAGCTCCAGAATCGCTGAATGGGACTCGAACCGAGCGTGTGACCCCATCAATGGACTGCTCTCCGAACGAGGAATCCATTGGTGGGGTCACACGTTCGGTTCGAGTCCTGCTTAGCGACTCTAGAGCTCAAACCGCGCCTAGAGTTTTGGCCGCCTCTCCGGTCTTCCGGCCCACTGTGCGTCTCCGCGTTCGACACCACGCGCTACGCGCTTCTCCGCCAAGTGCAGCCGAGTGCAAGGTGCAAGTGCAGGCCGGCGTGCATTATGGTGTCGCCGCCCTCCGCCCCGCCTTGCCGAGCATGGCGGAGCATCGCCGAGCATCGCCGAGCTGTCGAGCAAATCTCGCGAGATATTGTCCTGGGAGCGCGCCTTGCTCACTCCTTTGCTCACGCCTTGCCTTGCGCCCGCGCTGCCAGCACACTGATTCCGAGAGTCGTTTTCTTCGATCTGCCTCTCTCGCACTCGTGGGGCGTCCTGAACAGGTCAGAGAGGGATGGTGCGACGAAAACGAATCTGGGAATCAGTCTACAGTGTCGCGTTACCGGCCGCGGCGCGGATAGAGTCGTCAAAGTGCGCGAGCAGCTGTCTCTCTCGCACCCGCACGGGACGCCCCGAGAGTGCGAGGGAGACGCCTCCGGCTCGGAATTCGTCTGCAGAAGGAAAGGATTGGACGTTGTGCTCTCCGTCACCAGCATCGCGAGACAACGCGCTGCGGCACGGTGGTGGTGGGGTTCGAGTCCTGGCATTCTTCACCATTTTTTTTTTTCAAAGTTTCAATTCAATTTTTACCCGCTTTGACATTTTGTCTAATTGCCGTATCTTCGCTTAGAGTAGCATGGTGCAACTCTCAGCGCAGGGCATCGCGGCCCGAGAGCGCAGAGCCATTTCTTTTCATTTTTGAATGAAAGTTGCTCCTGCGGAGTCCAGTTTGAACTGTAATCGCTGGCGCTGGTTATGTTCGCACGTCGCGTACAATGCAGCTGGAGGAGGGCGCCTGTACGGTAGGCAAGCCAACCGGCGCGGCGCCCGCTGCGCAGGCAAGCCAACCGACGCCGAAGTGCGGCGGCCCCGCGAAGCACGGCGCTGTTCTACGCTGTTCGCCCGAATCGACTTGTCGACTTCCTTTGCCGCCTCAGCCACTCCCTCTCCTCGGCGTCGGCGTCCTCCGCGCCGTGCTGCCGTGCCAGGCACAGCCGCGGCAGGCGAGGGGGGCGTCGGCTAGGCGTCGGAACCCGGCGCCGGGTCGCGTACCGGGTACCACCGCGGCGGCGGCGCGGTCTCCGCCTCCGTCTCCGCGACGCGGTGCAGGCTGCTGTAATATTTGCGGAGCGAGCCGCAGTTCTGCCACGCTCCACAATCGCAGCCGTCAACACGGGCACGCTTCTCGGAAGGCCAATCGGCCGTGGAAGGTTTCGAGCGTCCAGGCCGGTCGAAAAGCGTCGCCGTGGTCCGCCGAGTGCGGCGACCCGCGACGTGCCGGTTCAGGACACGACACCTGTGAGAGTGGCCGCCTGCGTGCGTTCGGCGCGGGCAGCGCGTCCACGGCACGACACTCGGCACACGGCAGTGCCAGCAGTACCCATTAACTGGTTGCCGAGAAACACCGCGGGCTAAACCGCCCGGCCTGGTCTAGCCCGGCCGCCGTAGGCCGCCGGCCTGCCGTAGTCCTGTATAGTCGAGTCGAGGCAGTCAAGGCCGTGCGAATGCGGCTCGGCGGGCGGGCCGGGCCGTCGTCGGCAGGCCTAGTAACCACAGCATGACACCAGTGGGGGCAGGCCGCAGCTAGCCGCAGCTAGCGGCAGCCGGCTGAATTGCGCTGCCGCTCCGACAGGTAGAACAGGCGGCACAGGCGTTTCTCTGGTGTCACATCCAGGGGAAATTCAAAGTAATGAAAGATTTTGTTTTCCCGATTTTCCAAAATAAGGGACAATGAGTTTTACATTTTGAACTCCCAATTTAAAAAAACGGCGAAAAATGGATTGAAACAGTGTGCATGCATACTTTTTATATTTTAAGAATTTCGTTTCCCGAACACCACGTAATTCAGATGGAAAAGCAGCTAGAGGCGGCGCCGCTTCGGCCGCGTAACCGAGTGCGCGCGTCACGTCACGTCAGAGAGAAAAGGTCTGGTCACCCGATGGTCCTCGTTCAGCAAGCGCAGCGCAGCTCAAGCGCCGTGCGTAGATAAAATCGAACCGTCTCTCAGACTTTCGAAAACAACCTACCACACCGCCACGGCCGTTTCGCCAAGCAGCAGGGAAGTGCCAGATTTTAGCCAACCGGCAACAAAGGCATAAAATTCGTGGCATTCCCTCCCCCCTCCTACCTCGCACTACACTCTCAAAACCAAGAAATTTTTTTTAAAAAAAAATTGAATATTTGTTGAAATTTTCCTTTGAAGATTTGTGTGATTTGGCGAAGCTCTGGATGATCGAAAATTGCTTCTTGTGCTTTAGCCCCCCCTCCCCCTAATTTTATCAATCCGTGCGCACCACGCTGGCGCCACGCTCCACCACGCCGCGGGTGGGCTACCCGCTCAGGCCCGGCGGCCCCCCGCGATAAATGATGCCAACTATCTTATTCCCTGGGTCACCGAGGGGAAAACGAAACGATAAACTTGAGACGCGTTCGACGACGGAGCGCGGAGCGCGCGTCTCTAGGCGTCCGTCCGGGCTCAGCTTCCCTCCTTACCTTCGGGAAGAATGGGAGGAGGGGGGGAAGGGGGGTGTCAAGGTCCCTCCATGCGACCAGCGTCTACCTGACCCAGTGAATCGATCCGCTGATTATAGTGGTTGCAGTCCTGCAGTCCTGTCCTGCTGGTCCGCGGCGGGTCGGCATCGGGCCCACCACCGTCAAGAGAAAGATAGCGACCTCACGCTATTACGGCATGGCATGTCCGAGGCATGTCCCAGCCGATCGCCATCCACGCCCTGCGCAGGCCCAGCCCAGGCACCCGGGCAGGGCTTTCACTAACGCTGGCCGTGCCGCCCAGACTTATCTCCTGCAGATAAACACCATCGCGTCCCCACAACTCTGCGATCGGCGATGTAGTACTTGGCTGTGTACCCCTGCCGGCCATGGCGCCCCGCCTGGCCTGCCTGGCCCAGCCCCACCGGGCAATGTCACTTGGATGTCAGAGTCAGGAGGAAGTGGCGAGCAAGCGGCACCGCGTTGCGTTCCCCCGGAATGTTCCCGTGTGATGCTTCTTCCCGTAATGAAAGCAATGATGCAATGCAGCGGGCATGGCAACCTCTCGAGTAAATCCTTCCTCTACACTAGTGCGCACGCACCCTTCAGATCCCCACGAGCGAAGTGTGACTTCTCGAAAGAGCAATAGAAAGGAAAAACTGACATAGCTGGGTCCTTCCCATTTACACAATTTGCAATGCTAATGCACAGGTGGGCCCAGGTGGGGCTCCGACACCATGGGTAACAGTGACTGTCGCCGTGCGTTACAAGTGTACCGTAAAAATCGTGATGAAAGTTGTGCAACAAGCAGTTGCATGAAGTTTTCAAAAATGTCAATTGAATTGAGGCTAGGAACACTTCAACTTGTATAATTACAGATAAATTGTATTCTTAGGGAAACTAAAACCAAAATTTAAAAAATGCAGCGTGTTTATTGAACACCTGAACAGATTCACAAAACCAAAAGAGCAGAGTTTAATGTAAAAACAAAATTTATGCACTCCAACAAATCATTCAAACCTAAAGTTGCAATAAAATAAGTCACAGCTTCACAACTTTATAAGTTAACAGTTTCAGAAATGGTAACAACTATTTGTACATAATGGAATGAATACAACAACACTTTAAAGCTTAAGAACATCTTGAACAGCCTTAACAATGTGGTTAGCACTGATGCCGAACATATCGAGCAAGACATCAGAGGGACCAGAGCGGGGTACTCTGGGGACAGCCAGCTTGCGCACAACAATGTCACGGTGCTCAGCAACAGCAGACATAACAGCCTCACCAATACCACCCTCAGGGTAGTGATCTTCAACGGTGACAATGCGGCCTCCGCATTCCTTGGCGTTCTTGACAATAGCCTCAACATCAATGGGCTTGATGGTGAAGGGATCCATCACACGAGCATGAATGCCAGACTTGGCCAGCACATCAGCAGCCTTCAGAGCTTCGTAGAGGGTCACAGCTGCACCAATAAGGAGAACCTGGTCCTTGTCGGACTTCTTGACAATCTTGGCCTTTCCAACCTGGAAGGTCTCGTCGTTGGAGTAGATGACAGCAGACTTGGGGCGGGAGGTTCTGGTGAAGGTGATGCCAGTGGTGTTGGCAGCCAACTCAATGGCACGCTCAGTACTCACAGCATCAGAGGGGTAGAACACGGTGGCTGTGGGGATGGAACGGAACATGGCAAGATCTTCAAGAGCCATCTGGCTGGGACCATCCTCACCAATGCTGACACCGCAGTGAGATCCAACAAAGTTGCAGTTGGTCTGAGAAATGGCACCCATACGAATCTGGTCGAAAGCACGAGTGAAGAAGGTGGCAAAGGTGGACACGAAGGAAATGACACGGTTGCGGCAGGCAGCTCCAATACCAACGCCAACAAGGTTCTGCTCAGCGATGAAACATTCAATGTACTGAGCAGCATTCTCAAGCTTCAGCTTCTCAGAGAAGGTTGAGTTCTTGGTGTCACCATCAAGAGCAATGACTCGTGGGTTGTTCTTGCCAATCTTCACAAGAGCGGTACCATACGCTTCACGGGTGGCAATAGCATCGCCCAACTTGTAAGCAGGGGGAGATGAAAGCTTGACAGTCAGGTTGACAGCAGGTGCGTCATCCTTCAAGGGCTTCTGGGGCTTCAACAGAGCAGCACCAGTGTTCTTGATTTGCTTCTGAACGTGAGCGATGACGGCATCAGACTTGGCGCCAAGAACAGTTCCGTGCCACTTCTCCTTGTCTTCGATGTCTGGGAAGCCCTTGCCCTTCAGGGTCTTGGCCAGAAGACAGGTGGGCCTGTCCTTGGTACTGGCAGCTTCATGGAAAGCCTTGGCAACCTCCTCAATATCGTGGCCATCAATCACCAGAGAGTTGAAGCCGAAAGCATCAGCACGCTTGCGGTAGGTCTCCATGTTGTGACCAAGAGATGTGGGCTCAGACTGTCCAAGGCGGTTGACATCAATGATCATGCACAGGTTGTCGAGCTTGTAGTAGCTGGCGAAGTTCATGGCCTCCCAGACAGAGCCCTCAGCGCTCTCACCATCACCCAGCAGACAGTACACCCTGTAGGAAGCCTTGTCGATGTACTTTCCAACGTAGGCCATACCACAGGCAATGGAGAGACCCTGACCAAGGGAGCCAGTGCCCACATCGATGAAGTTCAGACGAGGGGTGGGGTGACCCTCCAGGTCGCTGTCGATCTTGCGCAGGTTCATCAGGTCAGAGGTGGGGAAAAGTCCAGCCTCGGCCCAGGCGGCGTACAGGATGGGGGCGGCGTGGCCCTTGGAGAGGATGAAGCGGTCGCTGGAGGCATCGCGGGGCTCGGACACCTTGTACCTCATGGTGTGGAAGAAGAGCACGGACATGATCTCGGCCATGGAGGCGCATGTCGTGGGGTGTCCTGACTTGGTGACATTGGTGGAGGTGATGGAGTGAATGCGGAGCTTGTTAGCCAGGTCCTTCAGCTCCTGAAACCAACAATGAGCGACACCATCAGATCGATGTTCCAATCAATCGAACGCACTGATGCAATCCACACGCGCAGGTGGTCTAGAGGTAAAGCGAACGTAACCACAGCACAACAACAGTCACACACTCACCTGCACGGTTTTCGACTCCAGTTTGTGGTAGTTGGACATGGTGGTTTCGTTGAATAGACAAGACAGGAGCTTGAACCTCTAGCGCGTGCTGAGAGCGACCGGCAAATGGGACGGAGCGAAGATCAGCGGGCACGGTCCTCAAGTTCACTGTGGGCTCGGCACGCCGCGGACGCGTTCGAAACGCAGGCTTTGCTGTCACGGTGCCCCTCACTCCCACAGAATGGCCCCTCGTGCGACAAAGACAGCTGCAAGCAAGTTTCACACGCAGCCCTGCAAGGTGGTTTCGGGATGGACAACATCACAGAGTGAAAAAGAACTCTACACCGGCGCTGCCAACTTCTGCATTTAGCGTACCTTGAGAGCCATACCATCATCCAAAGACGTTCGAGTCACTTTTATTTGAAACATAAAGAAGAGGAAGTGATTAACACAGCGCAGAAACAGCGAACAGAGCTACAAAATTCACTTTTCGCCTTAGACAGCAATCACGGCATGAAGTCGATGCCAGAACTTATAGAAGGCGTACGTATGACGTAAGGTTCCCGCGCAAATGCCAGCTGACAGGCTGGCTTAAACGCTTCAGTTGAAGTGGTGTTGGGTCGTCTCATGAATGCATGACGACGCATGACAAAGCAGCCATGACCAAGCACTTGTTACTGCTATAGATTCCCGTAAAAGCAACCCATTCGCGTGGAGGAAATGATCTTCTCATCATTGTATGGCAAATGTAAAATAGAACTCTAAGAAAAAATTTTCATAAACATATATATTCTCTTTGAAAATAAAATACACATTGCTACAACTCATGGAAATAAATACAAATCAATAACATAATTTTTTCATTTTAACACTAGAGATCTGTTCATGAGCCGCATAAAAATACCCACAACAGATTTCATTGGTTCCAATCAAGGCACGTGCTCACAGCAGGCACAAAGCAAGCTAACACGCACACATCACATCACACTTTCACACACATGCAGTGCTACGTATACCATAACATGGCTACTACAAGGTTCTTTCACACACATTGGACATGACACACTAAGATAACACAATAAAACAAAGGCAGAAATAGTATTCAAATATTTTGGAACAATTTTAGTGTCTGTCAGATGACATGTCAAAATTCACTGGCATTCATGCTCAACCGTGGTTAGGAAACAACCAATTCCCCATAACAAAAATATTGAGACTTTTCAAAAGATAAAATTCTTCCTTTGGTTTGAATAATACAATTTGCCTATGTGCACGTGCATAAAATCCACAATATAGTTATATATCAAAACTAAAACAACAACTAGGACAGTATATGTTCAAAATACAGCCATTAACAACATCCCTCTTAAGCTACTAGTATCATGTCTGCTGCAAGAAGTTCTTGGAGGAGATCTCACAGAAGCAAAATAACAAACTGCCCTAACATAAAAAAAAAATTGCAAAGGATTGCAATCAATAAATTGAGTTATCTAAATTTATAAGGCACTTGGAATAATGATGAAATATTTCATAGAAGAGTGCTCCTAATCAAACCATAAGAGTAAGAAGAGTTGAGAGTTTCAGTTACTATAATATAATACTACTTCAGAACTAATCCATCAAGTGGGAAAGGAATGAAAATTGAAAACACAGATGTGCTCTGATGGATTAAGTAATCCAGTAGTGAGAAAAGGTGCTCCAGACACCCAGCACTGCACCACTTGCTTCTTACTTGATTGCTTCAATACACCATTAATACTAAAATGAATTCTGATGAAACCTTTTACCTACTAATGAATGGCATTAGAAAATTTCAAGAGGTATATGGGACATAGGTGCTGATGCCACACACAAGTGTTAAATCAGGATACAAGGTGTACAGCCAATGTTGGTTCAAAGATTGATTACAATAACACTCCCAGTCAAGAAGGTAAAAAAAAGAACAGGATGAAAGACAAACAAAAGAGAGAAACCCACAATCATACAGAAGAAAGATAACTTGAAAGATCTAATACTGCTTGCTAAGCCCCCAATGGTTACTGCTGCCAAAGAAACCTTAAAAAAAAAAAAAAATGCTATATGCACACCTTACAGTGTGAACAGGAGAGGTGAACAAAGTGGGATTCATAAGGTAAGGTTCATTTTAGAAAGAGTCACTTTAGATGAAGAGTAATGCAAGGGCAGTAATTAATGGACACGACAATACATAAAATCTTACATACTGTCAAAGTTACCATTTTTAAAACAATTTTTTTAAAAGTGATTGTAAATGAATGGTCATAGACAACAAGGTAAATTCAACAGTAGGTAGGGGCACATGAAACATAATTTCATTGATGAATGAAAAACAACATGTTGAGGCAACATGTCACAAGTAAATTGACAGAAAAGGTATTGAAGTAACCTCCTTAAACAAGTGATAAAAGGAGTACATTTAAGGCATTGATTGTTACACCATTCAATAAATGGTGATGGTCCGTTAAAATTTGATCTTAAAATCCTACATCAGATTCAGACTCAAATGTAATCAGGCAGTTGATGCAAACACTGACAAACATTGACATATTCAAACATGCAGTACCTATTTGATAGGCCAAAATTAAAATACTGAGAACAATGTGTTTACAAAGACAATTGCAGAAATAATCAGTATAAGTGAAATATAAATCAACCAATCAATCAAGGCTAAAAGAGAACTACTGTTCTTCACACCCAGTTCATTTATGACAAATATGAATTAAGATAAGATTTGAAAATAAAAATGAAGTAATGTTAAGGGAAATTCCGGATCGTACCCTAAATTACGGTAAATGTTGGAGTACTACGCACGGAATGTCGGTTCTCCTAATTTCGAAGTGTTGCGGAAATCGACATTTAGTCGGCTGCGGAAATGTTGATGGGGGTTTGGGTTATGGTCAGCAGGTGTCTATTATTGGGTCGCGTACAGAACCCGATCCCGGCGCGTACCCAAATTCGATTTCAGTCTAAATGCCTGAAAAAAGTAGAAAAATTTTGATACAAAATCCCTCTCCAACAACCTCCTCACTCAAATTTCCGACATTAAATCGATTTCCGCAACACTCCGGTAAATATAGAGAACCGACATTCGTTCGTAGTACTCCCAACATTTACCGGTAAATCTTAGGAGTCGCCGGGATCCGGACATTTCCCTTAACAGTAACACATCTTACTGATCTTCCTGAATCTCGGCAGTTACCGGCAAGTCATTTTGCCCATCATCACCTTCATATTTCCCTGACGTTTCATCAATTTCTAATTTCAAAGGATCACTATCTGCATCATCATCATCATCACCAAATCTGCTCGAGTCCACATCATCTTCATAACCTGTTGAGTTGATTTGTTGTATAGCAACTGTTTTAGGTGGAGACCCATGCTGAGAATCTTTGTGCTTGTCAAGGAAATAACGACGCTGGAATGTCATTCCACAAATTTCACATTTGAATGGATTTTCTTCACTATGTCTACGCATGTGGTAATCTAAAGATTGCTTCTGAGTAAATGCTTGGCCACAAATATCACACCTAGAAAAGGGGGAACAGAAAGAGGTTTGCATTCTAAAATTCTCAACAACAATAACAATTTTGAAAATTTGGATAAACAGAAGTGAAACACATACCTGTATGGCCTTAAGCCATTGTGGATTCTAGAGTGAACATTCAATATAGACTTGGAGGCAAATGCCTTGTCACACACATTGCAAGTGAAAGGCTTTTCACCTGCATGAGTGCGTAGGTGACGTTTAAAATCAACAAAGATGTCAAATTCTTCATGACACTTTGTACATTTAAAGCTTTGAGACTTGATCTGTTGCTCTCCGTGTTGCTTTCTGATATGAAGGCCATAACTACTTTTGTATGCAAAGGATTTATTACAGATCTCACAAACATATGGCTTATTACCTGTGTGCAATGTATAGTGAGAATTGAGACGTTCCTGCAATAAATAGTGGTTTTAAATTAATAACTTACTTCCTAAACTTATCATGTATTTCTTTCATATATAGATACACTTTTGAAAATAGCACTTACTTTTGTGGGGAAAGATCTCTCACACTGATCACATGGGAAAGCTTTCTCTACATTATGGTATTTCAAATGGTTTTGTAGCTGGCGACTGGTTTGGAATTGGTCAGGACAAAATTCACACTTAAGTGGCTGGAGCTCTCCAGAATGCCTTTGCTTGTGTTTGACAAAACTCTTGTAATAAGAAAAGCTTTCTGGGCACACATCACATTTAAATGGCTTGTCCAGGAAAGATCCATCAAGAGCAGATGTTGACTTTTGTCTGACAGATGTCATCTAGACAAAGGTAAGAAAGAAGCGAGCATTAGGATGACCAGTTGGTACACTAATTACAATTCAAGTTACATGACAGAATCAAAATAGTGAACAAGCTGACAAAAGGAAACCCATGACATGAAAGCATATGATTAACATTAACCTGTTTTATGAGTTCAATTGCCCGGTCTCGATCATTTGAATTCTTTACCGGGAGAGGACCAGGGCGATGTGGTCCAGGAACGAGGGGCGGCAAATCTCCTATATTCCCCATGATTTGAATGTCTGGATTATTCCCTAGAACTGGGTATAATATTTGACCTCGAACATTTACAACATTGTTATGATGAGATTGGTGATATTGTGGCCTGAAATAGAACACACTGTAAGAGGCAAAAGAGACAAGTATCAAGTAGATGCGAAGTAGTTCCTAAAGTACTTACTCAGCACCATCATCCCCCATTAAACTAAATGGATCTATTTGAACTTCCAAGTTCTCTGTTTCATCTCCTTGCTGAAATAAACAAGAGATTTAAGATTAAATTTATCATGAATCACAGAGGAGGATGCAACACATTACAGCAGTTTGAAAAAAGAGACATGACAAAAACCAAACTTACAGAGTCAGTGCAATCATCTGCATTTCCTGGATCACAGTCTATTGGTGCCTCACTCCCACTGTCCCTGTCATGATCCCACCGGGTGCCATTTTCACTGCGGTCCACACGGTCAGCCTCTTTAGACATTGGAACAGCAGAAATAGTCAGACCTGATCCTCTTTTATTTCTAAGTGGCATGGAATTTCCGTTTTCATTGTGGGGCATTGGAATAATAGTCAAAGAATCATTAGATCCATGCTGAAGGGAAAGTTTAAAAAATTAGAAAAGGCAGCAGATAAACAACTGTTAGTTTACAAGACAGCACCATTTGATGCATTACCTGAAAGCTGAAAGAATTCTCTGACTCTCTTTTAACTCTTTTATAACTACGAACTGAGTCAGTATGTTCTGGACGGTAAACAGACACATCACTAGGTATTGATGCCTGACGAATCCTGGCATCTGATCTCAAACACATGACTCGGAATGAGTAAAAGTTTTTTATTTTCTGATGACAAACTGTGCAAACTTTGTCAGTGGGGGCTACCTGTAAAAATTTAAAAAAATGAAAAGGTCAGAAAACTTTGTGACATTAATATTTGAGGCATGACACTTAACACAGATATGAAAAACACATATACCTAAAGAGAAGAATACAAAACATTTTATAGAAAAAGCCTCTGAAGTTTTTGCTAAAACTTCAAGCAGTTACATAGAAAAGTAGCAATATGCTTCCTTAAAAAAATGTCTTTAAGTCAAATCCCCACCCCCTTTACCCCTTTAACATTCCAACCTGTTGCATCTACATATTTCTGAGGATATCAAGCATCAGACCATAGCAAACCAACAGTCCCATCAACAGTACGAACCAACTAATGACAATATCTGAAAATTTGTGACAGTGGACTCCATGGAATTCTCTATGCCGATAGGCCCTGATTGTTCCCAACTCATCAATCAATAGCCCAATGGAGATTAGGATACCTAAAATAGACTCATGTCTATCAAAACGATTTTCTCGAATAAAATTTAATTTTGAAAGCAGCATTAAACTTCCTTGACACCGTTAATAACGTACCTTAATCGTGGTAAGAATGTCTATTTTCAACGCCACCGTACTAATGCCACCTTCCGGGTTTTCACCATTTTGCACGGGTATCAACTCGTTCGCCTTCAAGCACAAGCGACATTTCCCCTCGATATCCACAGGCCCTTCGAGATACGGCGATTCTTCTTCGTATTCTTCAGTTTCATACTTCGGTGATTGAATAGACATTTTAAAATATTGGCCCAAAATTAATTGGCCAAGTGCTTGCGCTTTTAACAAAAGTGAGGATGTCTTCAGTACTTAATTGCCGTCGCCATGTTGATTGATGTCGTTTTATCTTGACACCCATCCGCTACCAACAATATTTCACAAAGCAGTCTCCGTGATGAAACACAATAAAATGTCTCAAATATCACTTTAAAATGAGGTAATATTATTTAATGATAAGTAGAATTGATGGAACAGGCAAATAGTCTGGTATTGTTCGGATAAAAGGTGGAGAGATATCAAAGTTAAAGTTCTGTGGTTGGTGGTTTTGGAGACCACCGGCACTTCGAGACTCGAATCCAAAGTCGACTCACTCTCGTGTGAGCTGTCTGCAGCAGAAACAAGCAGAGGACAAAACAAAGCGAGAGCGAGACAGGAGCTGGGCGTGTGTTGACAGAGTCGGGTCTGCGCCGTCTTTCCTTGACAGAATGGGTAACCCCATCGTAGACTTGTTTTCCGCCTGCCTGACAGCATGGCTCGTGTTTTACGGGGCTTTGCTGTTGACTTTCGACCTGTGGCCGTTCTTCGCGTTGAGTGTCGGGACGGTCATCCCTGTGCTGCTCTTCGTCGCGGCTTGGTGGCTGCGGGTCCCGCCGCCCGCCGCCGAAGTTGTCAATGAAATTCTGGGCCCCGATCCGGTCCATGGCGTCCCAGAGAAGGGCAAGTTTCTGATGCGCTCCGTCGCGCACCGCGGCGCCCCCCTGGACGCCCCGGAGAACAGCATCGTCGCTTTCCGGATGGTAAGTTTCGGGCGTCGGCCGGCCAAGCGTCACCACCCGGCGGGCGCCGCGACGACCCCCTCCGGTGCACTGTCAGCTGGTGTAAACATGACTTTATGGGGCATCTCCAGTCGGACGGTCTGGAGTTGCTGCGACAATTGTCATTGGGTCAAGAGTCTGTCTTCATTCACTTTCCAAGTATGACATGGTTGGTTAGTGGGGTGTCCGCACAGCGAACATCAATAATTGATAAATCTTTGACCATACATGTCCCATCCGAGAATAGTATTGTCCGATTTCATCTTTTACCTCTGATTCAATGGTCTGCTTGGTCATTGTACCTTTTTGAAAACAACGTGTTGTTTCTGCTGCGTTTATTTTCTTTACGGTTCTATTAAAATTACCTTGAAATATGTCAAACTTTTATTATTTTCCATGAAAAAGGCAAAATTGATATTGTCAATTGCGGTATAAATTTTGTGTTACCTAGTAGTACTATATTTTATTTGCCGGTATATATTAATCAAGTATCCACATGTTTCTGGGCGTGTCACCTTCATAGCCATAGACCTCTCATTAGTCTGTGGCCTTGGAGGTTTATGTACTTGATGGCGATGGCTTTGACCTCCCTGCAGCAATGCAAACAAGTTGATAACTTGGTTCAGCCACTACACTGGTTGAATGACTAATGGTTGGGAGGGGGTTCCCCGCACCCGCATAGCTGCCGGTTCAACTTCCTGCCCGTTGATGGGGTGTTAGAGGGTGTGTGCAGGAGTAGTGACACTGACCTCGGAGGGCTGGGGGGGGGGGGGGGGGGGGGCACTTGGCCTACATAGAGCGGCATCCTGCATGCATGCTCAGCCGAAGTTATTTTCGGCCTTGTCTGCTGGACTCGCAGTGCACTCGCACCGAGTGGTGGGCTCATCGCTCTGTCTCTCTCGGGCGCGCCGTAGGGCCCTTAGGGGTGCTAGAGTGATAGAGCGCTGCTCGGGACGAGCCGCAGCTGCCGGCAGCGGGCGAAACGATCGGGTGGAGTGGAGAGCGACTCCGCGCGACGGACTTGACTTCGGACCGATGGCAGTCCGTTCGCGATCGGGGGAATTCCCTTCCAGCTCCAGCCCTTTTGACCTCCCGCACTCTCGCCCGGGGCGGGTCACACTCGGTCACGCTAGGTCACGCTTGCCAGTGGCGCCGCCTGGTGACCGCCGCTTGCTGCTCGTTCAAATTGAGTGGCACGGTGAGTGACCCTGCCGGAGACAGTTGGCGCGGGGAGCGGGGAGCGGGTTCACTGCGCATTGTACTTTGTAGTGGCTTTCAAGTCCTCGTTATCGCGACGTTGATAATGGGCCGCTTATGTCAGTGAGCAAGGTACTCGGCGTGCCGCATTGCCGCATGCCGCATCGCATGAGTGAGCGAGAGGCGAGATGACCGACCCTGGCCCCCTGCCCCCTTCCCCTTCCCCCGCGGGCCTGCGGGGACAGAGCCTAAGCAGCGAGCAGCGTAAGCCAGGGGTGAGGATCGGCCGGTCGGCCCCTTTGCAATCTCACGCTGGCGGGGCTTATGAGCCCCTCGAGACTGGAGGGCGCAGTGCGGCGCGGTGCCTCGCAACTCGCAAGGCCTCTGATAGGCTGATACCGCATTTATGGCGTTTGATGCGGGCCCCTTTGGCCGGCGTCGCCCCCCCCCCCCCCCCTTCTCCGCGGCCTCCACCTCATGGCTCTCGGGCTGCTCTCGGGGCTCTCATGGCCAGCCAGGCGCCAGGCAAGGCACTGCAAGGCACTTCGCGTGCCAAGTGTCGTGGATCGGCGACGTCATTCGATCAATGACCTTCCTGATGTACTGTTAAAAGATTAAAGACAGTTAGAATTCGTGTGAAGGGAAGGCAACCAAGGTCCTTCCCTTTCCTTTACTGCCGACTGCCATCGCACCACATGCAACTAATATTTACTACTTTTCACCTCTTTCAATTTCAGTGTGCAGCTAAAGGATGCACTGCCGTTGAACTTGACGTTCAGCTAACCAAAGATGAAGTACCTGTTGTCTTCCATGACACCACTGTGGAACGGTTAACTGGGAAGCAAGGAGTCGTCAGTGAGATGACTTGGGATGAACTAAGTAAACTGGACATTGCAGCCACTCACCATCTCAGGTAAGATTCCTCCAAATTTTAAATACACATAAAGTTGCATGCCATTTAGCATTTCAGTCAATCAGATTTCCTTAAACAAATTTAATAATTAAAAAGTACAATTGTTTGAAATGATGTGACACCTTCTCTGCTTGAAACTACTAACAACACTGAGATTTCTCTCTCTCTTTCTCTCTCATTTTTTTTCCCTTTTCTTATTCAAACACCACTAAGATAATCATAAAACATATTTCCATGCCAAAACTTTTTGTTCTGTAATAAACTTTCTTCTTGTATCTTTGTTTATTGACCTATGAAACTAAACCCTCCTTCATAATTTCATTTAATTCAATCCTAACCGGTTGTATATCTCAACATGCTTTTGGTGCTGGTGCTTTCAGTGATGAATTCAAAGGAACGCGAGTAGCTCGTCTAGATGAAGCCATCAAGGAGTGTCTAGAACATGATTTGCGTATTTTCATCGACCTAAAAGACAAAGACACAAAGGTGAGATGCAGGAAACTATAATACTGTCATTGGCTTTTGATATGCTTGCCTTTGATGATCAAAGACTTTCCTTTATAACTGTTTTAATTTGTTGAATCCATGCTCTGGTATTTTTATTGTTGTTCTTTCTAATGTAGAAAAAATTAATTAGGGGATTTGTTACAATTTTTTCAGCTGGTGAAAGTTATCCTAGACATATTTTCAAAGTTTCCAAAACTTTACTCAAGAGCTGTTGTGTCTGGCTTTAACCCTTTGCTCATTTACATGGTAAGAATTTGAACCAGTTTATGTGTTTTAAATAAATACTTTCCCATTTGTGAATTCTTAACCATTATTATTTTGTTAAAGGTCCGCAGAGCCAACCCAGGCATTACCTGCTCATTGGCGTTCAGGCCATTTTGGTTCACTGCAAACCAGTATTCTGGTGAGGGTGGGCCAATCCAGACAGTTCCACAGCCATTTGGAATGCCTATTCTACTGGGCGTCTTGGACAAGATAAACCATTGGATGTTGAATCACTTCACCTATTACTTTCTTGGTTTATCTGCTATTCTTCTACACAACGACATTGTATCGCAGTAAGTATGATGGATCTTTAATAAATTCAGTATTACATCATGAACTGTTAAAAGTAATTATATTTTGACATTTCAGAGAAGATTTGCGAAGATGGCGTGAACGACACCTCAGAGTTGTTGCTTGGTCAGCCAACAAGCCAGTTGAAAAGAAATATTTCTCCAAAATTTTAAAAGTTACCTACATGACTGACACAATGATTGGAGAACCGGACACCAATAGTGATGAAATTATCCATGGCTAATTCATCTCAAGTCATTGATAATTGAGAAGTAAGCCTGCTGCACACCAACACCTTATGTACTGGTACATCCATCATACATTGTGGAACATTTTCAACAAGAATTTTACCTAAGCAATAATTAATTTTAAGGTTTAATCAATTTTACGCTGTACCTTTTATTATTATTTACGAGTCAGCCCATGTTTTTTTTGGTACGTTCTGTAGTCATGATTTTAATGCACTATTCTGCCATTTTTTTACCTTTTAACATATTTTTTTCTTATGAATGTGACAGACATGGGAACTGGAGAACAGTGCAGCTCCTTGTGACCTGAAGTTGGCAATGTTTTACTTACTGCATCTATAATCTTGTAGGCTGCCTTGTGTGCTTTATTTGTTCCTTCTATCTTTTATCAAGCTGTTTATAATAATTAAGTTACTCTGTGATGATTTTTCTTCTCGATAGCTTTACTGATAGTGTAATTGAGCCACTTGAATGGGACCAATCAGCTCAAGCCAGATTTCTTTCCACATTTGTTTAAATTACAAGGGCCTTTTTTTTAAATGCATAAGACTTTGAACTTGATAATGTCCAAAAGACAACTTTGCTGCATTTATCAATTTATATTGAAGCTGTGATGTGGTAGCTAACAATCAATGTGTACATAATGCATCATGAATTTATTCTTTTTGGAGCTTTTGTTGATTTTGCTGTTGAGCAAGAGATATGTGTAGATTAATGAAGATTCTGATTACTGTACCTTCCACTCCAATCGCATTTATTTGACTGGTGAAATTTTACCTTGTGCAAAGGGACGAAGAATCTGATCTTCTGTGATAGTTTGTAATTCAAATACAGTACTGTGGACCACAGGATTGATGATTAAAGAAGAACTTTATGCCAACAAAGCTTTTATTTACAGAATCCACATGATTTCACAAAAATTTACTGACATAATTTTGAGTGATTAACCACTGTTGCATACTAAAAGGATAACAAATTTAGGACATAATCTAAAAGTTGGCTGTCACACATATTCTTGTAATATTGACAAGGGACAAAGATCTTGTGATGTGAAACCACCAATTAAATACAATAAACATTAAAAATTTCATAACTTACTGCAGCACAGCTCATGGTTACCTTGATAATCAAAGTCCACTTAAACATATAGACAGAACATAACATAAACATGTCAAGGAGGTCTCCACCTCCCACTAATTTCTAGATAGACTACTTAAATTGAAATACAATCAGGTCTTAGTTGTACCATACATTTCAAAGGACAGCCATATCACATAGAGAGGACCGTCCTCTAAATCTGATCAAGCTTATTTGTATTAACAAGAAGAAATCAGAAAAAGAAAAACAAGTGTCTAGATCCAAACAATATCCTATTTACAAATTAGAATGCTTTTCTGACTTCTCAAATTTAACTAATAGTAGACAGTCACTGCTTTGGTGTCACGGCACACATTTGGTGTACTTCATTTAGACTGTGTTGGTTTCAAAGGTTTTTGAAGCCCTAGACTCAATAAGAAGGCATCAGGAGCAGGATCTCTTCCTCTAAACTTCCTAAAATTTTTAGCAGCACCAGAGAGTCCATTGAGGTACGTGTCTCGGAACCTTAAAACACATTTGTAAATTTTGTTAACATCATCACTGAGATGGGCATTACATTCTAATCTATTTAATTTGACTTTAAAATCTCTTACCTATCTCCAACAGTCCTAATGCTTTCCTTATTTTCTAGTCCAACCTCTTCAAAAGCAGTAAAAATGTCAGCAGCTATCAACCTTGACCATATATGGGAATAATAAGATGCACTGCCTTCATTGAAGATCTCATGAAATGACAATGGGGAATGGTCCATTGGGTCCAAAGGAAAAGCTGAGTACATTGGCCACAACTTCTCCATTACAGTTTTCCAGGCTATGTCCCTACGTAACACAAACGCAGCACTATGTAAAACTTGCCAATAGAAAAATAATAATACTGTATTTGTAACTTAAAATTCTCAACTCACGTTGCAAAGAGCTCCATGTCAAGTCTGGACTTATAAATTTCATTACATAAGTGGAAACCAGCCATGTGCTTTTTAACTCTATCAAGGTTATTCAAAATTCCATCAGGTAACTTGTCACCATTATCATAGTGACCTGAAATGCTTTTGACGACAGCTGGTGTGTATGCCCTTTGAAAAGGAAAATAAAAAGCATAGTTCATAGAGTAGCTATAAAAGAAGCCCAGCCTGAAATAAAGTTTAATTGAAAAACTCACCAATGCTCAAGGAAATGTGATGGTATTTCCGCAGCATCAACTTCAACAAATGCAGATCCAGCAACTTCAGCATAGGCTGCCTTTGATAAGATGACTTGTAAGGCATACCCAAACTAGAAAAAATAAATGGAATTATAACGTAATACACCTTCAATAATTCAACAAAACAAACTGATTTATTTACCCTTCCAAAGAGATCCACCACATTATTAAATGATAAAAGGGATGGCTTTCCGTGTGCAGGGGGAGAAAAACTAAACATAATTCCTATCTGGGGTGTTTGTTCCTTCCCAACCAAACTTCGATTCCTTAAAGTGAGAGCAACACCATTGGAATAAGATTTTTCCGACCTGGATTTAAAAAGAGAGTAGAATGAGAAAAAAATTCACAATGCATAGAGAAGGAAATGTTTCACCATAATTTTCATACCTCATGAAAGGATCTAAGTAGAGGTGGGCAATCGGTGCCTTACTTTTACTATCAAGCACTTCATAAACACGTACATCTCTAGCCCACACATCAACACCTCTAATCTCATTCATTTCTATTCCAAACATATCATTTAGAAGAGTAAACAACCCACTGAGAACAGTTTCAAATGGAAAGTAAGCGCTAAGCTCATTTTCATTGAAGCCATATGCCTTATTTAATTTTGCCCGTTGCCAGTATGGAACATCACAAAACTCGAGAGGTTTGTGGTATCCATTTTCAAATGCGAATTTATTCAGAGACTCTATTTCATGTGCTTGAGCTGGTCGAGCTGAAAATGAAACAAATAGACACAATTTTGGAGCCAATCAAAGCAAAAAAGTGCAAGAAAGTAAAGTTATAGGTAATCACCCTTTTGCAACAGATGATCCAATACGCCCAGGACATCATCTACAGACCCTGCCATTTTAGATTCCATTGCATATTCTGCATAAGAGTTAAAACCTAGTATTTTGGCTTCTTGTTTTCTGGAAAGATGGTTTTATTGACACAACACAGAAATAAAGGCAGGTTATAAGTATGAGATCAACCTTACTTACCTTGCATAACGAATATTGGTTACATCAACATTGAGGGCTGTCATTTCTTCATGCAAACCGAAAGTTGCTGATGACAGCCATACTTTGTTTCGAAGCAATGCATCAGGGCAATATTCCAAAAAGGGTGTCATTGTTCGGTATCTCAAAGTCCATGGCCCTCGAGAAGGGTCTGGCCTAAAAGATAAGTAAATGTAATAATAATGTCACTGCGTACAAGATAAAAATTAAGAAGATGAAAAAAATTGGATCAACCATACCCCTCTGACATAGCCCTTAACAGGCGTTCAGGAAAATTCTTCAACATATGAGAATCACTAATGGGCAATTTATACTGGCGAGTTTCATGCTGTGACATAAAAAATTATTACCGTATAACATAAAAATATTAGTGAACATGTTTTTAATTAAAAATGACAGACTCAATTTGCATTCTTCTTACTTACAGCCAATTTGCCATTATATGTATTTTGATACCTAAGCGTTCCTTTGCGTGCTTCCACAAGGGAATCATATTTAGTTGTGGGTAGTTCCATACCGTTCAATTTGCCAAACAGGGTGTACTTTGCTAATAAGCGTTTCTGGTCTGGTGGTAGATTTGTTTCATTAGATTCTAATGCATTCTGTGGATAAAGAAACAAAAACAATTATAAATATTGAGGACACATGACACACAAATTTCTTGTTGCTCATACACTTAATTAACTTACTTTGCAGCTGTGGTACAAAAGTGGACTAGTGAACTTATTTTCTAGTGCAACAGCTGCCCTAGAAGCAATTTTGTTGTACTTTTCATTTGATAGCAGGTCAGTTGCTTGATGTAGGATTTTCACAGTGTTATATGCATTATCCAGTGGCCGTGACACTTCCTCAATTGGACAAAGGTATTCTTGAAAGAGTTCTACATCAGTGATACCTTTCTTGTCTGTTGGAGAATATTTGTGCATAATTTGAGGTAATCAAGCTATGCTACAATATTTTACAGAGCAATGTTTTTACCCTTGATGTGTTTTTCAATTTTCCAGAAGCTGGACTGGAAGTCCAGAGATCTTCTGACAACACCATCATAACATTTGCGGCCAGTGAGAGATGAAAAGTCTTGAAATGCATCAGACCGCAGAAGGGAGTTGTCATCTGAGTGTAAAGGAACATCTGGCAGCCTGTAAAGCCCAAAAAGAATACATAGCTTGCCATACAAAAACATTAATGAAATTGTATCTTTCTCTTCAAAAAGTATGATGCAAGATGCAAGTCACAAAAAAGTTGACAAACAACAGATAATTCGAGGAGCAATCGGGCCGGGCATCATCAGTTAGGAAAACAGGAACAAAGTTCTCAATCATCTCTACATGTTACACAAGAATCATCTCACTTAAACTTGACTGTAGAAAGCAATGAGATCTGTGCAGGTTATGTCCTCTAGAGGCCCTACCTAAAATTGTACGTTATCACGAAAACGGACCATCACCGCAATCAATGGGACAAACTTACATTACAATGTATCCCGATTGACGACATTGCAAGAATGTAGGATGCTGTCGGTACAATAGTCTTCGACATGTTAAGGACAGCGCCATTTTTCGGAGGTGTTTGATTTGCTGGTGCTGCCGCAATGTTGGTACGTCGATTTCCAGATTTGGACGACGTTGGCAGCACTTCTTCACTTTACGCCCTTCCCCCGTCTTTTGTTCGTTTCTGCACGTGACATCACGTGAACAGTTTTCGTGGGCTCGACGGACGAGCGAGCGGCTGACCAGCAGACAGCTTGTGAAAATGGCGACCTCAGGCAAGATCGGAGCTCAGCAAGCTGCTCGCGAACATGTTTTGGCTGTCAGCCGAGACTTTATTTCGCAGCCACGATTAAGTAAGTTTCTTATGATGTTCTTAACTTCTCGAGTATTCACTCTGATTTCGGGCTCGGAAATTTGCCGTTCGTGTTTGAGATTGTGGGTTGTGCCTGGAACACCTTTCGACTGTCCAAGTGGGTCGATGTTATTTTCTTATCTCTCAAAAACCCCTAGTTCTACGTTAGTTGTTGGACTCTTAATTGTTTCATGCCAATTTTGTTTCGCATAATATATTTGAAGTGGTTCCATTTTTTGTGCTTCCGTGGTGCATATACAAACAACTGACAATGGCCGTCCAGTGGCCAAGTAGTTTTAAAATATGTTTTAAATCCCGTGCTCGTCTGCGCTGAACAACTTGACACTTCAGCTTTTATACTGCAGAGCCATTTGTCTATCCACGTTCTAAACTGATTGGTATTTTTCTTAAAACTCTGTCACTTTGGTTAGAGACCCCTCTGTATTTTGACAAACTATTCATCCTATGTTCTTCCCTTTTGGTTTGTGACAAGGGGCAACTATTTCCATTTAATTGTCACTTTCTTTATTACCACACATCGAAATTCTAGAGCAGATTTCAATCAGATTGTGCCACTGAAATTTTCCAGGTCATGTGATCAGCATCAGCTGTCACATGATGAGTGTGGAGAGTATACCAACTTATTAGGCATCAAAGTTTGAATTCTAGAATATTTTGTATGTTTTTGTTTGTCAAAGATCTTGGATAGGATGTTTTGTTTGATCTGATCCATGAACATGGGTTTGTGACTTTCACAGCACCAGGTTGTGGTTAAATTGGAGAGGAGGGATTTGATTTGTGCACAAGTGAGTATTTTGATGATTTATATTTGTTTCATTGTGTTTTTACAGCCTACAAAACAGTGTCTGGTGTCAACGGACCATTGGTGATTTTGGATGAAGTGAAATTCCCCAAGTATGCAGAGATTGTACAGCTTCGTTTGGCTGATGGAACTATCCGATCTGGTCAAGTACTGGAAGTCAGTGGTTCAAAGGCTGTAGTTCAGGTAAGCTTTACTGAAAGTGGCTGTAGAATTATTCCTTATTTACTCCTTATTCACTTTTTCTTTAACTCATTTTTTTCCTGGTCTGTTCAGGTATTTGAAGGCACATCTGGTATTGATGCCAAAAACACACTATGCGAGTTCACTGGAGATATTTTGCGCACACCTGTGTCAGAAGATATGCTTGGCCGTGTTTTCAACGGCTCTGGCAAACCCATTGACAAAGGACCACCAATTCTAGCTGAGGACTTCCTTGATATTGATGGTACGTTTCCTCAATGCTTAAACAATGGAAAGAATTTGAAATTGTACTTGCAGCCATTTCATTCTCTGCCAATTTTGCAGGCCAACCCATCAATCCTTGGTCCCGTATTTACCCTGAGGAAATGATTCAAACTGGTATCTCTGCCATTGATGTGATGAACTCTATTGCCCGTGGTCAGAAGATTCCCATTTTCTCTGCTGCTGGTCTACCTCACAATGAGGTGAATAATAGATCACTATTAACTTATTCCCAGAACTCAATTCCATGTTGTAGAGTGACGACATAACTTCTGTTCTTTTCTTTTTCATTTGCCCAGATTGCTGCCCAGATCTGTCGCCAAGCTGGTTTGGTCAAACTGCCAGGAAAGTCTGTCCTTGATGATTCAGATGACAACTTTGCCATCGTGTTTGCTGCTATGGGTGTCAACATGGAAACTGCTCGTTTCTTCAAACAGGACTTCGAGGTTGGTTTTGATTCCCATTTACTATTAATATCTTTATTAGCTGGACTCATAATTGCAATCATGTTGCAATAATTTAATTACAGGAAAATGGGTCAATGGAGAATGTGTGCCTCTTCTTGAATTTGGCCAATGACCCCACCATTGAGCGAATCATCACCCCCCGCTTAGCTCTTACTGCTGCAGAATTCTTGGCTTACCAGTGTGAAAAGCACGTTCTTGTCATCCTTACTGACATGAGCTCCTATGCTGAAGCTTTGCGTGAGGTAAGTTCATTGAGCTTGTCATCCCTTTAAAGCTGTATCTACCGTAGTGTAAATTTTTTTAATAATAATATCTAATTTATGTTTAGGTATCAGCTGCCCGAGAAGAGGTGCCCGGTCGTCGTGGTTTCCCTGGTTACATGTACACTGATTTGGCCACCATTTATGAAAGAGCTGGTCGTGTTGAGGGCAGAAACGGCTCCATCACTCAAATTCCTATTCTTACTATGCCTAACGATGGTATGTTGTTTCTAGTTCTTCTTTTGCTATCTTTTGTGGTTGAATTTATCTAATCATACTGGTCCTTTCCAGATATTACCCATCCTATCCCTGACTTGACGGGTTACATCACAGAAGGTCAGATCTACGTTGACAGGCAGCTGCACAATAGGCAGGTGTATCCCCCTGTCAACGTACTTCCCTCACTGTCTCGTCTCATGAAGTCTGCTATTGGTGAAGGCATGACAAGGAAAGATCATTCTGATGTATCAAACCAGCTGGTAAGTAAATGAAGAACAACCCCTTAAATTCAGTTTTGGGGAATGTGTTCACAAATGTGTCATGTACTCCTCTTATTTAAAATTTAAATTTGATTGCTTTTCCCTGTGCAGTATGCTTGCTATGCTATTGGCAAAGACGTCCAGGCCATGAAGGCTGTTGTTGGTGAGGAAGCCCTGACACCTGATGATCTGCTCTACCTGGAGTTCCTTACTAAGTTTGAGAAGAACTTCATTTCTCAAGGTAAATCAGATGACGCAATAGATATTTTCACATAATAAAAACAATGTTAACAGTTATTAACATGTGTGTCCTTTGTGCTTAACAGGAAACTATGAAAACCGTACCGTCTTTGAATCCCTGGATATTGGGTGGCAACTGCTGCGTATCTTCCCTAAGGAAATGTTGAAGCGTATTCCTGCCAATGTTCTTGCTGAGTTCTACCCACGAGACTCTCGCTCTGGAAAGTAAAATATACAAGCCTTGTGAATAATCATTGTCTTCATACATATGCCCTGTAGAGAAATTTGTTTTTCTTTTTTTAACTTTCGTAGATCAGAAATATTTATTTAGGGCCCCAAATTGCTGTGTATTTTTATTGAAGTACTTATTTTGCAAAAAGATGTCTCAGTATGTTGAGGAAAGTAGATGACATACATATGGGCCCTGTTTCATTTCTGACTTGAAAGAAATTGTTGTTTATCTTGATCTTTAGATCCTTTCAGTTTTATTACAGAAAAGAGACATCTTTTCTTTTTTACTCTTGTGTTGTGAAATAAGAGTGTTTTATGTGAATTTGGTGCATCTTTCATAGTTTAAAGGTTGTATATATGGCGGCAGATCTTAATTCAAAAATGTTGACTCTTAGGATTGATATAAACATTCCAATCATACTAGATGTGCCATATTGGCCATAAAAGTTATCCAAGCATCTGCACTGTTATAATGAAGCTAATTTTATGTGAACTGTTAAATGAATTGTTACAAGAAGCTTCTGTAAATTTAAATGCAAAACTGCTGCCTTTGTCAGCATTTCATCAAGCATTTAGACAAGCATTATTATTGTTTTTTGTAAATAAAAGTACTTCTGTGCAATCATGGTCATTAAGTAATAAGCTTTAAATAAAGACAATATTACTAAAAAAAAAAGTAGGATTGTCAATTTTTTTTTAAATCCAAGCAGTATTTAATGTTTTGTGCGGAAGTAGCATTTTGTGTCATAATGTTCACTTGTTTCAGTTGCAGGGAATGGGTTCAATCTCCTACTCCCTTGAGTTCTCTCTCACTGTAAATTGAATTTTAAGCTTTATCATGGCTCACCGATGAGGAACAATGCATAGCAATAATTTCATTTACATCTACAATTGTCTGAACTCCTCTCTGTACTTAGAAGTACTTAATGTGGACTTAATCATTTCATATCCTGCATACACAGCTTTTCCATTGGTTTTGCATGCTAAGTTTTCTTAGATTTGAGCACTTGATTGATTCTGGCCCTATCATTTACTTGTTAAGATTTTAAGCTCAACATTCTAACCTTGCTTAATTTGTGTATTCCTAGTGATAGTAATGTGCAAAAGCGTGAGATTGCAAAGGCTGTACAAAATGTATTATGGAAAATGATAGACAATACATAAAAAATTATGTTCTGTTGTAAAAGCTTGTGTTTCATGACCCAAAACCCCATGCCAAACACACAAGAGGTGGTAGGGAAAAATAACTTAAGAAAATATAGATCAATTATTATTAATAATGTACATTATAAATACAGTTTCCACATAGAAAGCATTTGGTACTATTTACAAATTATTTACAAATAAAAAAAAAAAAGATTCACACATCACAAAGTTTAAAACAGTCTCACAATACACCTTAACAAACAATGAGCATAAACTAACAGTATTTTAAAATACAAGTACAGTACATGAAAAAAAGTCAGATATAGATTAGTTTTTCTTAGGTTTGAATCTTGCAGTTGAGGTTGGCCTTCGATGCCCTTGGAGTCTTGAACCTATTCTGGAGTAGGGAGACCCTCTTCTGAAGTTCGGTTGCCGGTATTGAGCTCTGCCCATCAAAGATGAAGGCTGAGATAAGACTGGTGCATTTGGCACGAAAGGTCTAGAAGTACTGGACAGGGAACTTGTTGACTGATGTGGCACACGAGTGGCACTTGCCAAGCCACTGCTCATTGGACTTCTCACGGAAGAAATCGATGCACTAGGCCCAAAGCTGGGTGGTGTGTTTCGAGGTACAGGAACATAACAAGAACTTGGAAGACTGCGTACTGACTGGCTTCCGCTAGTAGAGGGTTGTTTGCTCGACTGTTGCCAACGCACATTACTTGTGCCCGCAGTCTGGGGGTTGGTTGATGAAGATTTGGAAGAATACTTGCAAACTTCGCCTTGAGATCCGCGGGCTTGTGGTGCCGGCGATTGTTGAGTATCATCATACCCAGTCCAGCCACTGCGAGAGTGACTGGAGGAAGGCAAATCTCAAATGCTCACTGCAAACAAAATTAAAATAAGCAACAAACACAAAATAAAAACTACAAGAAATGGCTTAAGTGCTCCACTCAACTCACTTTCTGATTTACGTTTGCAAACTGACAGAGCTTTCTTGATTGCTGTCCAATCCTCCAATATATCTTCATCACTAAGCATGTAAACTACATAAGGGCCAGAAACTGTTAGAGGTTTCCGCCGGCCAGGCAAATCCAGAGCTCCTCGTCCATTGTTATTTCCGCCACGTCCAGATTTGTAGCCATTTCGCCATCCTGTTTTCCGTTGCTCATTCACCCACATTTCAGCGGAGAAATCAATGTTGTTTCTATCTTCTTCTAACATGCGAATTTTTTCTTCTAAGTCATCCTTTATTGAGTCCCATAGTAGAACCTTCTCACTCTAAAAAAAATACAGACAACAAATGTAAAATTTAATATATTCACTGTATAAACACACAAATACTGTATTTTGCCACAATTACTTACTTGATAATTTTGCAAGGCAGCAGTTTCTTCAGCTTGAAATTTATTCCTAACATTTGTCATGCGGTAGTTGCGAAGAATTCCTGCAACTTCCGTCCGGACTCTTAAGTTTTCTTGTAGCTGTTCTAATGGCTGAAGGTACTCATGAGCTCTCCCAAGTTTGACTTCTCCAAGCTTCGAGTCAACTTGAGTTATCCGTTCATGATACAACCTGCAAAAGAAGAATGGTTAATTAGATACGATCAAACACAACACAATTCTCCAAAAATGACGATACTCACTGCTCTCGCAAAATGTTGAATTGCCTTTCCATGTCTGAGAGGCTGTCGATGCACTCTACTCTCCTCCTCTCACATTCCTCCTCGTCCATTTCTGCTAAAAGTGTAAAGAGCACGGCGACAGTTGATCACAGAAGGCCAAAATAAACACATAAGCAGAATGGTAGTGTAAGTAAAATGAGACTAACCCGAGCTGTCATCGGAGTCGGAGGCATCGCTGGAATCGCAGGAGGAAGATGACTTATCCGACTGGTCGGATTCATGCTCCATCTCCTCTCCATCGCTGTCGTCCCTTTCGTCTTTGATTCCGGGCATTTTGAAAGGCTAAGTAGTCCGACCGGGCTCTTCCTGCTAAATCCCTTCGGATCAAAACAACCCGCGCGGCAACCCGCTTTCACCTGCAACGGCACATTTAAGGCGTTTTAGCCAATATAAAGATCGCTGAAACTCTCGTTGCGTGGCCAAATGAAGCGTAAACAGGCTATCCTGCCGAATTTCAACCATATGAGACTCACTTTGCACCTGAATCCGGCAAAAGAAGCAGAAATTCAGGATTCAATGATCAACAACCTCACAAACGCTCAACACCAACAACAACTAAATTTCAACAACAAAAATAACAACAACGCGTGCACTGAACAAAAGATGTACGATTTCGATAGCTCGAAGAGCGGCTGCTGCGACGCGCGCGCCCCCTGGCAGCGCTACCACGAAACACCAGCATTTCCGCGCCTTTTTTCGTTCGGTGCGCGCATGAGAGTAGGACGTGCGCGCGTTCGAACCAGGAGAATTATAAATGCCTTCGGCTCGGGAACGGACGCTGGGCCTGGCGTTCTGACCATGGTCGGTAGGAATTTGGAAAAACGAAAATACTCAGAATTAAAGGACATGTAAGCAAACATATATATTGAGGCGCACTCAGTAAGACATTTTTGAGTAAATCGAACCCCTTTTATCACGGATTAGCCGGTTTTAAACCTTAAAATGACAAAAAAGGAAGCAGCGGCGGGGGTCGACTGCAGTGTCTGGCGAAGATCCGCGTCGGGCGCTATCTGCAGGGCCGCTTTGTGGGCTCATTTGCAGCCTTGTTAAGCTCTAGAGGGGCAAAAGTTTGGGCTTGGATTAAAGCCAGAGGCTTGAACTGTGACCACGTGCATTTATTTTAAAACATTAGGGTAGAAATTATTTGCATTCTCCTTACAAAGTCGGACTTCTTTAAGCCGTTAGCAGGCGGTGACTTCGAATCACCGACCATGGTCAGAAAGGTGTTGTGACGACTTTGTAAGGAGAGTGCAAATATTTTCTACCCTAATGTTTTAAAATAAATCCACATGGGCATAGTTCAAGCCTCTAGCTTTAATCCAAGCCCAAGTTTTTGCCTCTCTAGAGCTTAACAAGGCTGAAAATAAGCCCACAAAGCGGCCCTGCATTTAGAGCCCACCTCGGGCCTCTACTCCCCCTCGCCTGTTCGAACCGAACCACTGTGCAGGGTCGTCAAGAGGCGCGAAGCGTGCGTTAGAACGAAATAGGAAGGTTCAGCACACATGGAAGTAAAAACACAGGGCAAATAAAATTGGTCTACATCACGATAAAAATGAAGCAAAATTATTTTTTCTTCCTGACTTTGAGCTGCAGGTGCGTAAATATTCTGACTAGTGGACGGCTGAGCAGACCTAACTCCCAATCCAGTGTTATAAATGGCAAAAGTGGCCATGAATAAACGTCCATTGGCCGCCCTCGCGACCTGGGGCAACCTAGGGCAACCGCCACGAGGCGAGTCGCATGGCCGGGCATGGCCAGCAGACCGATTCCAAGAATCGTCTTCGTCGCCATGTCTCGCACTCATGTGGCTTCGTGTAGACAGAGCGACGAAAACGACTCTCGGAGTTAGTAGTCTACAGACCACGCGGATGCGTCGACGGGGCGCGGGCCGCGCTTGCCCCAGAGGCCCGCGTTGCGTTGCCTTGCGTTCCCGGGGCTCGCGGCTCGCCCCTTCCTGAACGAGAGGCAGACGGGTGGGAGGGGCAGCCCCGCGAGGGCCCCGCGAGGGCGTCGTCGTTCAGGGGGACTCCGAGTGGGCCGCTATTGGCGGGAGAGACTGGAGTCGAGGGGGTGGCGGCCGTGGCGGCCCTGGCGGCCAGTGGTGGCATGGCGCGGGGCGTGGCGGGGGGCGGTGGCGGGGTGGGGCGGGGAGCTCTCCCGGAACACAGGCTGCCAGCAGGCTGCCCCACGCTGGGCCCTTAGTGCTGGGGACTGCGAGCCACAGAGCACATCGCACACCCCATGCCGCCGTGCCCCCGCGCTCTGCCCCGAGCTTCACAGAGCAGGTCGCGACCCCGAGTCCCCCGAGTGCAGTGAGCGCGTGTGTGCGGATAGACCTACGCCCCGCGGCCCGCCCCGCGCCGCGCCGCGCCGCGCCTCGCACTTCTCACCGCCCCGCAGCCTCTGGTGAGGAAGTTACTGCAGTTTGTCCACTTGCCGGCGTAGCGGCCTCGCGGCCCGGGGTCGGCCGCTGCCTCCACCACGTGCACACGCGCAGGGCCGTGGCTTGCGGCACGACCGTCGTGGAGTCCTCGGACGCGTGCAGGCCACCGGGCTCTCGGCCTCCGGGAAGGCCTCTAGCACCGCTTTTGCGGGGGCGGGGGGTTGTAGCGCCGGTCGTGGTGGCACGGCTGCACGGCAGCACGCCGAATGCAGGTCAGACCGCCCAGCTGGATGGCGGGACCCAGCAAAAAAGAAGGAATCGTTTCCGTAACAAAAACAAACGCAAGAGTTAAAGTACTTTGAATCTGTAAAAAGCTAGGGTTAAGAAAATTGTAATTATGCACTCTTAATTTGCTCCGTGACAACATATCCTGGGTCGCTGCTCTCCATCAAGAATAAGACCGTCACATACATGTTTGCATTACAGTTTATACATCACAAAAGGGAACAAAAAACGCTCTGGCTGAAAAATGTCGCGTAACTGAACGACCCGAAAACGCATGGGTACTTTTTGGGGCTACAGTTCGGTGGCGGCCAGGCCCCTCTCCGGCGGGGCTGACCCAGGCTGGCCCAGGCTGCCCACTGTGCCAGTGTCCAGAAGTGCCGGTGGCCAGCCGGCCAGTCGCTCGCCGCCGCGTCCGCCGCGTGCTGGACAACTCCTGGAGGTCTGGATGGGTGACCATCATGGGTCGCCCCTTGGCGCTTGGCGCGGCTTCGCGCGACTTGGCGCCCCCATTGATCCGACAGTGGAAGGGACATTCTCCAGCGGTGCTCAGCTCACGTGCGCCGCGGCAGTATGCACGGCCTGCTCCACAGCGCCGTCGAGACCGCTATGGCGGGGCACACTGTTGCAAAACTTTTTCTCGAACCCCCACCCCGACAAACTCGTCTCGTTGACATTCTGCAGGGCAATGCTAGAGTTGCGGTCGGTCGGCAGTCGGCCCACGCAATGGCGTTTTGCTCTCGACTCGGGAATGGGTATCGATTTGACCCGGAGTTTGGTCGACGCGCCAGACGACGGACCGGACCGGACAGTCTTGCCAAAACAAGTTGCCAAAAATGCAAAAACTAGCCCGAAAACTAACCCCCGCTAGGCTGAGGTCTGAAACCTTTTTTTTGCCGCTGAAGCAACGTGGGAATTAGTTTTCCTGAGCCCTGAAAAGTGGCTACGCTGCGTAGGGATGACAGGCAGCTACACCCACTTCGAGCACCTTGGTCGACCTTGCTGCACACCTAGTGCCCGTAATTTCTTTTCCAGCCCTAATGGCCACGCAATGATGGACTAACGAGGCACATTCCGCGGCTGTGTGTGTGTGTGTGTGTGTGCGTGTGCGTGTGCGCGCGCGCGTGTGTGTGTGTGTGTGTGTGTGTGTGTGTGTGTGTGTGCCGCTTGCTCCGCCTCGTTTGCGTGCGGGGTGCTGGCATGTGCCTCGAGTACTTGCTGTCGATGGCGGTGTCGGAGCAGCCGATATGCACAAACTTTGCGGGCTGCAGATGTTGCCGAAGGGACACGTTGTGTTGTGGTCTGTGCAAGGCGCCTGCAAGGCGGCGTAGCGGCGCCGCTCACACGGCCATGGCCGTGGTGGGCCCTGTGGGCGCATTCGCAACGAAGGGCACTTTGGTGGTCACTTTGGTGGTCGCTCGGTGCCTGCCTCAAGGCAGCCTCAAGGCAGCCTCAAGGCGCGCACGGACCGACCGGGCCACGGGGCGGCTGTTCCAGGTTGCAGCGACCCCGAACCGCACCGCACACCCCGCCAGTAGCGTACTCAGAAAAAGACTTGAAAATAACGATGAGGACTTTTCCCTCCACGCAGGCAAATCTCATGTGGGTTTCGTGATGAAGCGCTCTTCATGCAACGCGGCGGCGGGGCTGGTACTTTCCGCATCATTTACGAATGCCCCCCTCCCCCCCTTCCCCTCCTTATCCCCATGTGTGTCGCGACCGCCACCCCCTCTGCGGCTTGGCCAGCCCTAAGGCGCTCAGTTCCACAGAAACGGGAAAAATGGTGTCCACTCGTCGCTCTGTCTCTCACGCAGCGCTCGCTAGCGCCCGCGGAAGCTCGGGTAGGCAACCCTCTGGTCGGCGAGCCCGGCGGGCTGGCCTACGCCACAGGCGTTTTCGGCCAGCAGTACTTCGCGGATCTGTCTCTCTCGCACTCGTGCGGCGCCGCGTGCTGTAGTGAGAGGGAGACATCGGCAAAGCAGTGTGTGCGCTCGGCCGCTCAGCCTGCGGGCAGGCTTCGTGATTCCGGACGTCCGCGGGTAGCGCACGCCGAAACATATTGAACGGCAAAATCAATCGCGGGCCGGGGTCGCGGAGCGTCGCGGAGCCCTACAGTGGCGCGGAGTCAGTGGTCGCCGGCGACAGAGCACACGGGACCGCGCGCATCCACGCGGACAAGGACAGAGGGCGAATGTTTGCGGTGACCAGCGGGCGGCCGGGTGTTGCGTGCGCGGGCCCGGGCGGGGCGTGGGGCGCGGGGCGCACGACGTGGCATATTCATGCGACGAGGGACGGGAGCGGCGCCGTGTTGATGCGCTTTAACGCCACCACACTGCGACAAGGCTAATCTTGCCGAGGGAGAATATGACGTTATTTGGCGCGCGAGTGTCGACGCGTGTCGCCGCCGCCTTGGCACCTCGCTGCCGGGGCCGCCGGGGCCGCCGGGGCCGCCCGGGGCGTGGTGGTGTATTTACCGCTCCACCTGAACCTAGCTCAATGTGTACACCTCCAGCGACCGCGCCGACCCCGAGCGCGACCAGGAAGTGGCGGTGGTCTCGGTCTATTTTCAGACTGCTACTCGCCGCCACGCCGCCCCCGCGCCGCCGCCGCGCAGAGGGGCCGCACGCCCCACACAGGTAACCCGATACGCTCCGCGCGCCCCGCGGCAGACGGATGGCCGGGCCCGCCCCGCCGCGCCACCGCGCCGCCCGAATCGTCCATGGCGAGCACGTTTTTATTGTCAACGGCCCGAGTGATTTGGCGTGGCTCTGGCTCTCACCGGCCGGGCGGGGCGGCGGGGAGGCGGGGGCGCCACTCTGTATCGGCATCGGCCGGGGAGAGGATGGGGAACGGAATGCGGCAATCTCGCCATCTCGGGAAATCTTCATCGACCGAGCATCGCGTCCTGGAAAGTAAAGTCTCGGATAACGGCCGGCGATTCGGAAGATAATCTTGGT